CCTTCACTAAGTTTCCGTGTTTGTTGCTGAACTGCATTTATGTTGTGTTTACTTGATACTAAGTCTTGGCAGCAGCCATATTGGTTTGTTCCTACTTTTGATTATGTTGCTTGTATTGACTAGAATTTTGCAAGTTTTGATTGTGAATTGAAGCACACCTCCAGAATTCGAAACACTCTGTGTTATAAAGCAATCAAATAGTATCTTTTGAACGAAACTGTGCGTGATCTAACCAGACAGGATGGAATAACATTGATTTGTTGCGATTGGTAATTTTTGCTCATCCTTTATCCACTTCCTTATTTATTGTAAATTAGATTTGATTCATTGAACAATTATTGGCTGAGAAGCTGGGTGGTCATATTTGTTTAGGTATAATGAATTTCACAAATATCATTTTGACCAATCACATTGTTTTGCTTTCAACCGGACAAGGGCGCGTATCTAACCCACCTAGACAGTTATTCTTCAGTCCAAACCTTTGTTTGCATCTAGCACCTCCAAGAATTTGTACATTAATTAAAATGGAGTATCTTTCAAATTATGAAAACAAAACTTATGTACCAGAAAACTTACGATGTTATAGAAGGTTTCTAACATCATTCAGATTTTCTCTAAATGGAGTGTTAGCGTTAATACTGGCATCGAATGACGGAATGTATGTGAGACTTCTTTTTCTAACAAAACTTTCATCAAAACATCATCCCGCGGGGTGCGGGATCGTGGATGTGCATTGCTGAGGAGTCCCATACTAGGACGAAACGGCCGTCCATTGCTTCCAGGTTTTCCATGGTGGTCTACTTTCAATTGACTCATGATTTCAACCTGTGGAATTTCTAAAAAATCTCCACAAAACCCCCTTCTAAAAATGTCTATTTGTCTTTTCCACTAATCACATTCCCTGTCGAGAATATAATTTATAGACGAGCCAATCGGATTTCGCATAACAGGTCTTGAATTCGTGCACGAAATTCACTCATCCGTTCGGTCATACAGGGCGTCTTGGCATTTTAACTGATGTCAGTTCGTGATGAAAAACCATCAATCTAATTCCTAACTCTAACCATCAATTGTGAATCATAATCCATATTCTTCAAACTGTATTACAACCCTGATTTAGCCCTAGTAAGTAGGTAGACACTGTCAAGATCAGCTTGGCGTCAATTAAAGGTCGTCTAAAAAGTTATAGTCTCACCCTTTTCCTTAGTTGGAAGTAATCAGAATGGTGTATTTTCTAAATATTCTACTGTGTAATATTACATAATTAATGACTGCCTTAAGGAATGAATATTTGTAACCAACATGTTGTTCTACATTTGTAATAAATATGAGATAATTGCACTTGGACAACGGAGAACGTGATATAAACTAACTTAAAAGAGATACTGCATTAGTAATTCTGAGAAACAGATTTTCAGTTTTACTGAGAAAAAGACATTCTATTCCATCTAACAACGTGTTATATTTTCTAATCGACCTATGACTTGTGGAGGATAAGCTCTCAGTTTGTGACAAATTAGTGTGCATCTATCAGTTTAATTGGTAATGTCTCCTTGGTGGTCTAGCTTCAATTGTCTCATGATGTCAATTGTTGAAGTGTTAAGGACGTTCTGTTGTACAACTATGGTGTAGGAGTAGGTTGGGAGAAGACTATGGGAGGCCAAACCAAAACATGGCACAAATCCATGAAGTCCCTGACAAGTGGACTGAGCCATGTTGGTAGATGTAGACTACCTGTTTGGGAATTCACGAGACGATAATAACCGATGGTGAGAGACCTTGAATAACATGGCTCAAAATTCGTTTGCAATAATGCAGGTGCATTCACTCTTTGTCTTCACCCATATTTTAGTCTTCTGAATTCTTCCAGTGCTTTTATTTTTTCTCTTTCCAAATTTATTTCACTCGGTCATACTCCTTGAATAAAATCTTCAAAACTTAGTGTTTCCGATTACTGCTTATACTTTTACTACGTCTACCACTATGGGATTTGAATCGACAACTGCATCTCTGTGCTAATGTGGTATGGCAAATTGAACTAATGTACGTACGTACGAAGTTCTACGTTGTTGCTGACCGCCTGAAAGCTATTCACCAGTTTAAACCTAACCTTTGCATATAAGAAACAGTTTGTTCAGTCCTTCATTCTTCCATGATCTTGACCTACCTTTCAATCTTCCATAATCGATTGTTTGTTCGTTTTTAGAAAAAAAAGATTATTTGTACTCCTTTCCAATTTTTTTCATCACTATTAATTCACCATTATGACACCTTCTAATTACTTTGTTCTTGTTACCTATTAAGTGGACAATTATCTTCACCTTATCTCTTTTCACTACCCGATTAATACATAACTTCTATTCAATATCTGATTTTCATAAACCATTCTGATAAGTCTTGCAGATTGAACGCTATATTCGTTTCCTAAACTATTCTGTAACCCTCAAGCTAGAACTATACAGCGACCTGAACAACGAGAGATAAGACACAAAGTATGCGAGAAGTACTTTACTCCAAAGTTCATTTCAATACAGAAAATATAAGGTTTTTATAACATTTCAAATGTCCTTGGGTTGCTAGAAGATTCTGGAATGCTACTAAACATAGTAGCAGTGTAGCAATCAGCCAATCAGAACCTCTGCACCGGGCGTTTCACTTCCTTGATATTTTTGGCTAAAACGTAAAGTGAACACTGATTGAATGAAACGCTTCTTAGTGTTTTCTGATGCTTGCTTGCCTTTTGCAAGAAATTTGCTGGATCACTCCAACACATTCATGTCAAAGCACCACTTCAAGTTGTTGTTTTTTTCATTATTCAACATCATTCTATTTTATTATAGACTACTAGTATTAACTATACATAGGATTGTATAGAAAATTTTCTTCCCTCAATCGCCTTTGGTAAACTGCATCGTTATTAAAGAAAATCTTTTCTGAATCACATAAAAAAATGCCAAAATAGATACCTTTCATAGTTTGAAACAAATGTATCAATCATATTCTCATATTAACTATTCTATACCAGATCCTAGTGGAGGAAGAAGCGCTGGAAATGGATAGGACACACATTTGGGAAAGCCCACAATTGCGTCACAAGGAAAGCTCTCACTTGAAATCCTCAAGGTCAAAAGAGCAGATGAACACCAAACATCACATAACGCCGGAAAATGGAGACAGACATGAGAAGAATGAACTATAATTAAGTAGACATAGAAATAAAGGCCCAGGACAGAATGGGTTGGAGAATGCTGGTCGGCGGTTTATGCCCTAATGGGAGTAACAGGTGTAAGTAAGTAACGTTGAGAGTCAGATGGTTTAAACTGATTCATATAACAGAACCATTGATTAAATTTTACAGTATTATTATAATCATTAGGCGAATCAAATAATATATATTGTATAATGAGTTACCGGATACTTTATTGAATTAAAGATGTTACGTATCTTATTTCGTCAATATAGTTCTAAAAAGGATAATTTCATGAAGGATAATGATTTTCGTCCACGAAACAACAACTTTTATCTTAAAATGTCCAGAAAGGTTTATTCCCCCTCTATCTCGAACCTAGGACCACGAACGCATAACCAGTATCCAAAAGTGTTAATGTCTAACTTCGATTAACGCATGATCATGTGCAACACTTCGTCGATTGTCTGAGATAGATACCTGTCTCTACTCGACGCATCTTCTCATTACAACCCTAGGAGTCCCATCTTGAAGCTAGTCACTGATGAGCACATGATCGTTAGTGTGGGAACGTCTGTTAACCGAGAGGTTCTGTGACAGTGTCTGTCATTGAAAGGCGCACCTCAGAAGTACATAAACCTTGTAAAGGCTCTTTACTCGAAAACAGAATGTCTGAAATGAGTTCCGCCCTCTCTAAATGTAAGTTGTTGCTTCAGGACTGGTCTGCATCAACACCTGAACTAAGGATAGGGAGTGAAGTAGTCGAACGCGTTGACAACTTCACTTATCTTGGAAGTCTGACCAGCACTAATGGGTTGGTGTCTGACGAAATCTGAGCACGGATTCGAAAAGCTCGTTTGGCTTTTGCCAAATTGCGGAAATAACGTTCTCGTCGATTGAATTCGCGGACATTAATCTCCTTCCAACAGGTCCACGAATCGACTTACAATACGCAGCTGATACAGTACTGCTTGGTGAAAACACTGATGAAATGCAGTCTTTTGGTAGCACTGAGCAACAATGTCAGAATGTCTGAAATGAGTTCCGCCCTCTCCAAATGCAAGTCGTTGATTCAGGACTAGCCTGAATCAACACCTGAACTAAGGATAGGGAATGAAATAGTCGAACGTGTTGACAATTTCACTTATCTTAGAAGTCTGATCAGCCCTAATTGGTTGGTGTCTGACTAAATCTCAGCACGGATTCGAAAAGCTCGATTGGCTTTTGTCAAATAGCGTCACCTCTGGCGAAGGAGAAGTGTCAGTCTATCAATTAAGGGACAAATATGCTGTGCAGTAGATCGTTCTGTTCTACATTACGGCTGCGAAATGTGGCCATTAAGGATAGAAGATACTCGTAAGCTACTAGTATTTGATCACAGATGCCTTAGAAATACTGCTCATACATGCTGAAATCACTAGGGTAAATAATGGCAAGGTTAGACCCAGTGTATTAGATAATGATGGTAAGTCAGTTGATGAGGTTGTAATTCTTCACCAACTGAGATGGTTGGATCACGTGTTACGTATGCCTGAACACCGATTTTCACGACGCGCAATGCTGACTAGTGTTGGGGATGGTTGGAAGAAAGTTAGGGGCGGCCAAACCAAAACAAGGCATCAGTGCTTGAAGTCACTAACTTCTGGCGTGAGCCATGTTCGTAGATACAGACTACTTGGACCGATGTGTATATATGCCTGGTTCTACATTGAAGCTGACTGACAACAACGAGTCAGCCATTCAATGCTTCCAGGTATTCCATAGTGGTCTAAATTAGATCGATTCATGAATTCAACTGTAAAAATTCAAATTTCACCAACATCCATATATAAATATATGCATACTATTATAATGATGATTATTATTATTATATTCAAATGATTATAACCAAAATGTTAGTAGTAGTAATAGTACTAGTATTACTACTACTCAAGTATACAGTAGTATTGATAATGTTAATAGAAATTTTTATATAAAAAAACCGAAAAAAAAGCGAAATCTTCTACTCAATTGATAAACTTAAGAAAATATCAACATGATAAGTGAATGAATACATGAATGTTTACAAAGGAAAAACAAACAAACAAGTAAGTAAGTAAAACAATTAAACAAACATCATCACTTTACTTGATTGGATTTAACCATATTCAAAACCAGCATTTGCATTTAATGCATATAATAAACGTTCACGTAATAGTTTTATATTACGAAAATTAGGTAATTTTAATAAATTTGTACATGTACTTGCAGTTGGTAAACGTTCAATTTCATCAGTAATTTGTATTGAAAATGGTGGTTGTAATTCACGAAAACCAAACATTGGTGGACGTGAACATGCAGTAACAAAACGTAAAAATGAACGTTTATCAGATTCTGAAAAATTATGTAATACTGACCAAAAACAATCTAATGTTTCAGTATAATTTAATGAATCTTGAAAAAAAGAAAAGAAAAGAAAAAGTTATGATGAAGAAAAAACAAAAAGAAGAAAAATAGTTTGATAATGATGATGAGAAATTTATTGAAGCTGCTTCTTCGATTCTTGAAGTAATAATAACATTTAAAAACAACAACAGCAGAAAAGATTTGATTTAAGAACATCTAAACGCCCTGGTAAAGCCGAGGGTGGGGAGAGTCAACTCTCCTTTTCGAAATGCTCTCAAATGACCACGTGGTTAATACAACCACTACCAGGGACGTCCTATTCACTGCCTTTCCACAGCGCGGGGGGGTGTTGTTTATGAAATTGAGAGGACGGAAACAGAATGTCTGGTGTTTTAACCGGGTTGGTGGACAGGGAGAGTTGGAAAAGCCTGATTCGAAATCAATAGCGCACATGGACTCCAAGATCCTAAGGAAACAAATGGCATATGAACCAATTGTTGGTGACCGGCTACAATGAGACTACGTCTCCTGACGTTGCTTCACCGCCTTGTGGATTAGACCTTTAGGTCAAAGGCTCGGAGTGTGGCCCCTTAAAAAACCACCTGTTTCTGTTTGGGCACCCGGGCAGTATCACAGTTCACATACAAATCAAGTGACCTATCTGGCGCATATGTATTCGGCGCCCCTTCGTATCAATATTTATGTATTCAAATAATAATACAATAAACAAAATGATAATTTGATCCAAGCACTGTCATTTATTTTTCACATTCTAACTTGTTTTAATTATCATCTCATTCAAGAATTGTTGTTCGTTCATGTGGTATGGGATAACAACAACGACAACTTGAATACGAGAGAAAAGGTGTGAAATGTGAAAAGAACGCTTCACTCCAAGGTTAGTTTATATTACAGAAAATCGAAGGTATTTGTAACATTTCAGACGGCCAGGGGCATCCTGAACCCTACTAAACATAGCAGCAGGAGAGATAATCATGGAGTCAGAAATATGATGTTTCGGAGAAACCTCTATTCAATGCTGATTGGATAAAAAAAAATTTCTCAGTGTTTTCAGGGTCCATTTGGGCTTTTTTTTCGAGGAATATTCGGGGTCTTCCAAAAAATATCAAAGAGAACGTAGATGTTCTAATTTTTGTCAACACGTGATAAACAAACGCTTCAATTTTACATTCATCTTAGCAGTGTCCACTGTCTTCATTGATTTAAATGAAAATCCTAAGTGTACATACCGATGCCTTTAGTGTATCATAAATTATAGACAGGAAATTATTTACTATCAGCTCGACTGATGATTGTCCAAACCATAGAGTTATCTGATGATACATTTATTAACAACTCGGTTAGGTGTTATAATGGTTGTGAAATCCATTCAAACATCAAATATAACACTGCTAACTATACACAAGTACCAGTCAATAAAGCATCTTTATTGTTCAACGGCACTATGCGATTATAAATCAGCAGATAGCTGGGCACATTAGTTTGGTGGATAATATACTCGCCTCTAATAGCGATAGATACATAGTTTAAGTCTCACTCAATGTGAACATTACGACTGGGATAAGGATAAATCTAACTGAACCGAATGTCTATCCTGAAGATTCAATTATTTGACAAAATTCAAATCCATCACCAATTTAAAAAATCTATCAAGCACCTGTTGTTCAAAGTAAGGTGAACACACACATAAGAAGAGATTGATCAATTACAGTGTTAATTATCAATCGCCTTCAACTAATTTTTCATGTCCATTTGACCAACCAAATTCCAAAACTATTAGGTTTACATATTTCTGTTATCCTAACCCTTTAATTATTCTTTCGTATCAACGTCTACAAATTCATTTTATATTCGTTTTTTTCCATACTTCTTGACAAACAAACACTAGCGACTAGCTTCGTGAGAAAATTCTCGGAGTTGTGGTGAGAAGCCGTGACCAGTGGAGCTAATCCGTGTCGGGGAGAGACAGGTGTATACCTCAGTACAATAGAAGATGGTCGCGCAACTTCGTGGATTGGTTCAGGTTAGACATTAGCACCATTGGATGCTGGCTCAGTGGTCCAGTAGGTCAAGCGAGGGCCGAGGGCCCTGGGTTCGGGCCCCACGAGCAGAATCGTGGATGCGCACTTCTCAGGAGCTCCACAATAGGACGAAACGGTCGTCCAGTGCTTCTAGGCTTTCAATGATGGCCTAATATCAATCGGTTCATGATCTCAATCAAAAGATTTATGAAATGTTATCAAATTATATTACTGACAAGTAACTAATCATTTTTGTTCACTTTTTTTTTATCTAATCATCTCTAGAAATCAGATCAGATGCATTGGTTTCATTTGTATTGGTTAATGCAATTAATGATGATTAACTGAATTGAATCTCATGTGTAATTTCCTACCACTGAGGAGTTTCATTGAATCATAATGAAAAAGAAGGTATTTCATTTCTGAATATTCAACTCTTCTTTTAACATTAGTGATGCAAATTATTTTCGCGTAATTTATATTATTTGTTCAATGAAATATCAAAATGAGTATCTGTATTGATGCGTTTAGTGAATGTGAAGAATATCGGTTTTCATCACATCGAATGGTCAGCCTTAGTTCCTAAATTATAGTGTTTAATCTTGAATGACTATATCTGTATGGCAATGAGAATGATTAAAATTTCAAACAAAAATTAATTTCAATGGTTGAGATCATGAGTCCATTGACCATTGAAATTACTAATAATATACACAAAACCCTTCTGATATTAATCAACATATGCTCACTAGTAACTGGATTCAAGAGGTATAACCTGGAGTTATAGTGAGAAGCGGCGATCAATGGAGTTCAATCGGGTCTGTTGTGAGATAGTAACTCACTGATGACAATAGTGGATGTGTGGCTCAATTGCGTGGACTGATTGAAATTAAACATTAACACTGTTAGGTGCCAGTCGGCTCAGTGGTCTAGTGGTTAAGTGCTCGCGTGCGAGACTAATAGGTCCTGGGTTCGAATCTCGCGAGGCGAGGTCGTGGATGCGCATTGCTGAGCCCCACAATAGGACAAAACGGTCGACCAGAGCCTCCAGGTTTCCATGGTGGTTTAGCTTCAATTGACTCATGATCTCAACCGCTGAAATTACTATAATACCAACAAAACTCTTCTGATATAAATATTAATTTCTAAGTAACATTTCGATAGTTGCTAGCAATGGAATCCAGGATATGGGTTTTGTTCTATCTCGGACAAATCAACTGGATATATTTGTAGTCTGGTGTTGATGTTCACACTAAGACCAAGACATCAATGCCTTTCGCTTCAAACACCCGCTGTTAGCCATAATCAAAACTCCATTTAAAAATATTGATGAATTAATTGATGTGTATTGAGATAATCTGACCAGGTTTTATATATGCCAAAAGGAGACAGATCAATTGTAGTCGTCAACATCAACTACGGTACCATACCGCTTGTTATTTCGACTGTCTGGCAATACAATTTTTTGAATTTCCTCTTGCTCTCTCTTCGAAGTATTGATGTAATGTAAAAGTATAGCTTGGTGAACAATGAGTACTTCAAGCAATAAGTCACTATCACCTACCATTGCTTTAATAATAACATTTCAACGTATATACATACATACATACACAAAAACAGATAAATTAACATATTGTGACATACTTCCAATGTAGAATGTATGCTGTTTTAAATCATTCACATCGATTACCATATCTGCTCCAGATATAAGAGTTTGTAATTCTTCTGCATCAAAAAGACGTACCCAATCAATTGGTATGACATCATTTAATCCAGCAGTAAAAGCTCGTACTTGTGGATAAATCTTAAGTTCAAAAAATTATTACATGTCAAAAAAATTCATGCAATAATAGTTGTAAACAAACAGAGTAGTCTCATAGATGATATATTTACAATTCAACAAAATATATCAATGATAAATAGAAGATAAAATTATAGCCAGATACCTAAGAATTTTTAAGGTATCATAAAAATAGTATTTGGTTGTGGAGTATTTGAATGAGATTGGTTTAGTTTATCAGTCAATCAGTAACCAAGTAGAACTTCGTACGTAAGTACATCAGTTCGAGTTCCCATACCACATTAGCACAGACATACAATTGTCTATTCAAATCTCATAGTGGTAGAGGTAGTAAGAGTATAAGTAGTAATCCAAAACATTAGGGTTTGAAGATGTTATTCAAGGAGTATAATCCAGTGAAACAAATTTGGAAAGAAAAAACGGACGTGAATAGTTCAGATTAGAATTTGGGACAACGCAAAGAGTGGATGCACCTGCACACACCATCGCAAACGATTTTGAGCCATGTCATTCAGGGTCTCTAACCATCCGTTGCTATCATCTCGTGGTCCCCAACCAGGTAGTCTACACCTACCGACATGACTCAGTCCACTTGTCAGTGACTTCATGGACTTGTGCCATGTTTTGGTCTGGCCGCCTCTAGCTTTCTTCCAACCTACTCCTATACCACTGAACATCACACATCGAGGCAGTTGGTGGTTGGGCATACGTAACACATGTCCCAGTCATCTCAACTGATGGAGTTTCACTACTTCATCAATTGATTTGCCATCCTTACCTAGTACCCGTTTCCTAACAACTGGATTACTTACTCGGTTGTTCTAAGATATACGATCAGTGATTCGAAGACCCCTATGATCGGATACTAGTAACCTACGAATATCCTCTACTCTTACCGGCCATGTTTCACTGCCATAAGGTAGGACGGGACGAACTGCTGCGCAGTAAACACGTCCTTTGGTTGATAGACGGATATCTCGCCTACGCCATAAATGACGCAAGTTGGCAAAAGCTAATCGAGCCTTCTGTATCTGTGCTGAGTTTTCGTCACACACCAGACCACAAGGGCTGATGAGACTTCCAAGATGAGTGAAGTGGTCGACAATTGACTGACCACTGAATCATGGAGCTAACGAGTACCAGGCATCACGATAAATATATTTAAATTTTTCTGTCAGATATCTTCCAACCAACTACTAACTTGATCTAAAGTCATTGAAAGTAATAGCTAAAACTAACTTGCCAGGAGAGAGATAGATAGGTGTTGATTGAATGTTTAGAATGTACATGTCTAACTAATTTCATGTTACATATAAGCTGACAACTTAATACATCTTATCCATAGGTATTAAATACGTGGTAAGTGTAAAGAAACGATAAAGAATTTGTATAATTTTCAATTGAAATGATGTTGTAGAAAGTATGGAGTAAATATTCTGAAGTTATTCACTACAATACTAAGTAACATCAGCTTAAAGATAAATTTGTCTAATGGAGTTTCAGACTGTCGTGAACGAAGAATTCAGGTGGTGAAGATCAATTTATTGTGTGTAAATATGAAAACCATACATTGAAATACATCATTTGTACATCTTTCATCAGTTGTCTCTCTTACAAACTTCATCGTTTCTTCATTCTTATTCACTTCAATTTGACCTTTTCAATACTGACTTGTAGTTTAAATTTACTACATATTGTGATTGAGGTATCGTTGAAAAACGAAAGAATATTAAACAGCTAATTTGTTTTATTATAAGAAAGTTTCGCAGTTTAAACCTATGACCATCGGGTTTTATTACAGATACCTAACTATTAAAAATACTTAGTGAGTGTTCAGTGATATTAGAGTTTTAACTTCGATTAATTTGTCATAATGCTCAACGAACAAAATTGTTTCAATTACAACGTTTCGGAACTCTGATAATTATTACTTCTCACTAGAGCTTCTATGATCATTTTAAAGTTATTTATTTATTTATTTGAACACATAGATATTGGTACAAGGAGGCACCAAATACATATGCGCCACACAAATCTCATTCGATATGTGTGAGGGCTGTGATACTGCTCGGGTGCCCAAACCGAAGCAGGTGGTTTTCTTAGGGGGCCACTCCCCTAGCCTTCGACATGAAGGTCTGATCCGCAATACAGTAGAGCATCGTAAGGAGATGCAGTCCCATGTTAGCCGATGACCAACGATTGGTTCGTACGCCATTTGTTCCCTGAGGATACTGGAGCCCATGTGCACCATTGATTTGGTTTGGGATCCGGTAAAAGCGTTGGACATTCTCTTCTCGTCCTCTCAATTTCGTAAACAACACCTCAACCACGAGACGACAGTGAGTAGGACTACCCTGGCAGAGGCTATATAGGCGTGGCCATGTGAGAGCATTTGGAGAGTGAGAGGGGACTCTCCCTACTGTCGGTCGTACCAGGGCATTTGGGCGCTCATTTTAAAGTAAGTTACTAATCAGCTGAATACTACAGTTCATTTGGAGTAATTTCATAAAAGTTAGCTTAATTTATAGGTTTCACTTATCACAGATTAATAGTAAAATCACCTGTAAATAAGACTGAATTCCATAAAATCTTTTCAGTAAAACTAGATAACTCGTATAAGTAGAGATAGATGATAGCTAGCAGTGAAATGCAGGACGCACAATTCGTCCCATTTTGCACTTGTCAGCTAGATGTACTCATATTCCAATCAATAGATAATTAATTCATATCGAAAGGGGCTTTTTGTGTATAATATAGTAATTTTAATGGTTGAAATCATGAGTTAGTTGAAGCTAGACCACCATGGAAAACCTGGAAGCACTGGACCGCCGTTTCGTCACGTTGTGGGACTCCTTAGCAATGCGTATCCACAATCCCGCCTCGCTAGATTCAAACTCAGGACATATCGCTCTCGCGCGCGAACGCCGTCCAGCTCACTGGTCTGTTGGTTAAACGTTCGCGCGCGAGACTCATAGGCCCTGGGTTAGAATCCAGCAAGGCGAGGTCGTGGATGTGCACTACTGAGGAGTCTCACAATAAGACGAAACGGCCATTCACTAGTTCTAGGTTTTCCATGGTGGTCTAGCTTCAAATGACTCATGATTTCAACTAGTAACATAAATAATTCTTAGTAATTTTATGTAAAAGTAACAACAACCAACAACAAAAAAACTCACCATTTTATTTAATTTATAATTCGCAATTAAATGTACATATTCAACACGATTTTCTTCAGTAACTGGAATATGTTTACCACCTGGTTTCAATTCGATCGTTTCAGATTGACCAAAAATTGATTGAACCATAGTGAAATCTAACGATAAATCTCGTACATCCCCTTTGTAATTTTTTAAAAATAATAATTGTCTATTGAGAAAGAAAAATATGAAAATATAAGAAATAAACAACAAACGATTGATTGAATAAGATTATTATACATTCAGTCAGTCAGTAACAACGTAGAACTTCGTACGTACGTACATCAGTTCGAGTTGCCATACATTGATTTCAATTCAATCTGAATTGTTTATCATCTTCATGATGAATTATTAAGAACTGTGAAACAAATATAGAAAAAATCCTATGAAAACACTAAAATACTTATACTGTGGGGGTGGTGTTGAGTGTTGTTAGAGGTATGAGGGCAGTTATCACTTATGGATTGCGCACATTGTGGAAAGGTTCTCCTAGAGGTACCTGAAAAGGGTCGGAGTTAGCGTGACCATAGTACCCAAGGAACAACTGCTTGAGAGCGGACACATCCGACCATTTTGTGAGTAACTTTTTTGTTAGCTCCGTACGTGTTGGGACCTTACCGAGGGAGACGAAAATCTGTGGGATAAGGCGATGAATGCATTTTTAGGGCGGAAATTTTCTAAACGCACCCTTCCTTGTGGAAAGGTAGCATCGCTGTTATGGTGATTGTTTAAGGAAAACACCTTACTGCCATGACAGTTCTTTACAATCAGGAGTACAACTTCGCCCTCGAACCTCGAGTTTGCTGTTTTTATTCTTACCGCATGGTAGGACATTGAGGAACGATTGTTCCAGCCAGTATAGCCCAATTGGTCCATCACGATAGGCAAGTCTGGTCACCACGTCAAGGTAGCTGTGGTGGTCGGGATACTATGGGAGGTCAGTTAAAGCTTGCAAAGATGACTGATAACATTGAATGACATATATGGGAATGCAGGGTTGATGTAAATTTAGATATTACAGAGCTTATCAGCCTGCTTACAGGTACAATTGAATGAGTAATGACGAAAGTTTAGTTTGTCTAGTCTTTAAATGTTGATTAAATCCTGTCAACCAATTTGCAGAGAGAAAATAGGTTCCCTTCAAGACTAAAGAAAAACCTTGCTGACGAATGACAAATACTTCAAAACCTAAGTTCAGGATTTTGTTCTCCGATTGTTTCTGACTATTTACATACAAGGAATTTCTAATGTACTTCTCAATAGTTGGGTAGTAGTTGCAAGTCTTAGTATAATAACCAGAACGTTTCACGTTGATATAGATTCTGAATGCTGATCATATCTGTTTTAATGACTTGCTAGGTGATTTCTAGACTCAAAAAAAAATTGCCACTTCAACGAGTCCATGAAGGAAATATGAAAGAGGCTTTATATTTAATCTTAGTGTAGTTACAAAATAAAAAGGAGATATGTGAGATTATCAGTAGCATCCTTAGCATTTAGAAACATATGGAATGGATACTAATATTAGTAGTAAATCTGCTTAAAATGAAAAATATTTCAACATTTATTGGTCAAAAAACTACTTACTTATACAATTGAGGATCAAGTGAATGTAGATAATCAAAGCCGACTCCGCCACCGCCACTTCGACTAACAATTTTCGCCAGGAAGAAATACGCGAACTGAAGTTCGACAAGCACACCTTCGTAAATTGCCTACAATTGTATGAGTGGGTATACACAGAAAATATATTAGTAATATCTATAAAACAGAGGAAATGTAAAATCTGAGGTATAATTCACTTATTATTTACTTGGATCTTCCCCTTGATGTTTAGAACTGTAATTGGTCAGTCTCTTATTGGCATATGTGCATACTGCGAGTATTGCCTCGATATTGCCGTAATTCACAAGCACTATAATCAAAGATGGATAGTGACTGACAGCAGAATCCAGTTTGACGCGCGTTTCATTCTATTTAGGATCAGTCAGTTGGATGTACCTGCACCCAAGAGTTGATATTCACTCCAGGACTCAGTGGCGAACGATACTAGGTTCGAGTCCCGGAGTGAACATCAACTCTTGGATGCAGATGCATCCAGCTGACGAGTCCCAAATAGGGTGAAACGCACATCAAACCGGATTCCACTACTAGCCACTGATATGATGGAAAGAAAAGTCAATTTTTGATTGATTTACTCATTATAAGTTTTGTTCAAGATTACTTCCGTTTTGATTCAATGCAATGATTACTCAATGTAGTATTTGTTTTCTTTTCTCGTATGATATTTTATTCTGTATAATATACAATATTCTTGTATTCCATTGACATGAACTATGCTCAGTATGTGATTTTTTATAACTCTAAGTATTTTTCATGTATGTGGTTTCATCCTAATTATTAATCAAAATGGGTGTACAAACAATATATAAATGAGGGTATTTTCGACTAGAGTCGTCGTCGTCATAGTGTTTTGGGGTTAATAAATCATCACTTATACCAGTCTTTGTGTTCATACTTTCTCATCGTGGGAATAGCAGAGGTCTCTCGTGCCGAGTATAAGTAATAAGCGTTTCCGACTTAACAATCAGCGACGACCAAATACAAAAAGTAGCACTAAAAGAGCCAAGACAATAAGCATTCAAACGACAAGTTATAACAGCCACTATTCATATTTGCTTATAAGGGTACAATGTTTAATTACTTAATATAGATATAGAGGTAAGTGTTTATCATAATAGAGTACTGTAGAGAAGAGGGAAAAGGATCCACTAACCAATGGAAACCGAAAAAAACATTGAAATTAAGCCAAGACATTTCAAGACAATTAAAGTGTTAGAGGGGTATAGACAGGGTTAAAGTATGTTCTGGAAAAGCTGATTTGTTTTTCCCTAACCAATTGGTGCTAGCGGAGACTTGAAGATTCTAGAATCTTCATATGCAAAAACTATAAATATACTAACGTATTTCTTATTGGGATTCCTAATTCCACCCAACCATCTTCATTTGTAATACAATTACCTTCCTATTCAACCATGTAATAATTTCGGGACTTGTCGAGTGAAGTAATATTCAAGAATATTAAACAACAAAAGTAATCCAGTCGTAATAAGAGAAAATATAACAAAAGGACAAGGAAAAAGATAATGAAATAACGAACAGAAAAAATAATGAATAAATGAATCATCAGAATCAATAGTGAACAAAGATATATTCCCTTATTATCGAAGGAACCTCATGTTGTCGGATGGATATCAGTAGACCTTCAGTGACAAAATTGGTTAAACACAGTATATTATATACTTCATACAACTAAATTGTAGCACAAAACTGATAGATGATACATACACAAATATAACACATCTGAAATGGATCCTATTTCACTCATAAAGTCAGCCAGTCTGTAACAACGTAGAACTTCATACGTAAGTACATCAGTTCGAGTCCCCATACCACATTAGCACAGACATACAATTGTCGATTCAAATCCCGTAGTGGTAGAGGTAGTAAGAGTATAAGCAGTAATCGGAAACATTAGGGTTTGAAGATGTTATTCAAAGAGTATAATACAGTGAAATAAATTTAAAAAGACAAAAAATAAAGGGACATGAAGAATCCAGAAGATTACAATTTGGGAGAACACAGAGAGTGGATACAATTGCGCCATTGCAAACGATTTTGAGCCATGTCATTCAGGGTCTCTAACCATCGGTTGCTATCATCTCGCCATCCCCAACCAGGTAGCCTACACCTACCAACATGACTCAGTCCACTTGTTAGTGACTTCATGGACTTGTGATATATTCATAAAGTATATTCAATTAAAATTGTATTAAAATATTAAACAAATGAATAACCTTTGCTAAAATTCTTCCTAAGAAATAATAATGCTTTAAATAATCCAATGTAATTGCAGATGCTTGTGGATTTGGATATAAAGTTTTATCTGATGCATAAATAAAAAATCCTCTAGTTGGATCAAAACCAGCACGAATAATTTCAGTAAGAAATTCTCTTGATAAACCACCACCATCAATACCAACTTCAGCTAAACCAGTTGGATTTAAAAAGGTCACTTTTAAACGTTGACGTAAATTGGGTGCTGCAAAATAAATTTTTAAAAAAAAAAAAGTTTTTGTTTTAGATTGAAGGAGTTTCAAGGGCAGATTGGTTTAATTTTTACGTTATATTTATCATAAATTGATCTCATTTAAGAGTACTAGTAAGATCTAAGTAGTAGTCCTGAATATGATCCTTTGTGGGTTGTGGATGTATATTAGCGAAGAGCAATACACTAAGAACAGACGGTTATCCAGTGACAAATAATTCTCAGGTGAACACTGAAACCAATTTAAAAACAAAAGATGATGAATCGGGAATAAAAAAATTATCCCACTATGTTTTTTGTATCAGTTTTTTCAAATACAGAATTGAATGCATCGATCGTACGATGTTTTATCTAAAGATCGTACATAATCAACAGATGATTGAATAAACTAATTAGATTTAGTTTGGTTAATAAAATCTGAATCTTAAAACTGTGAAGAATGAAATAAAGGACAACATTGGAATCGTATCTAAATTGCATTCTAAAATATGCCTGAAGACTCCGGGATCAAAAACCAAGGAGTCGTAATGAAGTAATATGAGCTAGTATTACATTAGCTATTTTTTACTTTACAGTCATTTGTTAGCTAGTCCTCAAAGACGGGGAATAATACAAGATATGATAATCACAGAATTCAGTAATCGCCAAAGTTATTATTCCATAACTCCATTTAGAAATCATGATTTCATATGAACGTGATTAATTGTTGTAAACTCATCAGCTGGATATACCTGAATCTAAGTGTTGATGTTCACATTGAGGCTCGGACCTGTAAACACCAGCATCAGAACTGAGATGGATATATATATATATATATATATATATATATATCCAGCTGACGAGTCGTAAATTAGACAAAACACGCATTCTGTGTTCCTCTGACAGTCATTATTATTCAACTTTAATTTTTAAAAAAAACTATACAAGATAAACATTACCATTTTCTTTGGATAATTTCTCAAAACCATCTTCATATAAATGAGTTCGACGAACAACAAGAGAAACACTTGGTTGATTAGACATATTATATATTCGTCGAAATGGATTACGATTATATGTACTACCATCATTGATAAGAATTTTAAATAACTATAAGAAGATTTAAAAGAGAAAAAAAAGATATATTGCAACACAATAACAACTATTGTCAAATAGAATCCATATCCTGAGACTAGATGGCGGTTGCAGGTAGTCGACAGGAAACCCTTGACCCGGGTTTCGTGCTACTTGGCACTCGTCAGCAAGGTGTGCCTGTAATCTTGAGGGAACTGGTGGATTCGATCTCGTGTCACCCAGTTTCACAGTCACAGACGTTACCACTGAGCTATCCAGGCCGCGACTGACCTGTAATGTAATCACAATTGATTGATCACTCGGTGGTGATTAATGTCATGCGTGTCAAGTCCTTCTTAGTGCAGATAGAATGCTATCGACCATGTTGCAATATGGCCACCAATCTAGATGACTTGACATAGCGGGCACTATATATTGAGATTAGATGGTGGTTGGAGGTAGTCGACAGGAAACCCTGGACCCGAACTGGTGGATGTGTGATGGTATTAACAGGCTATATAATTGTGGAATTAAGCCAAGTAAGTATTATTATTAATGGTTTTAATCAATATTGTGCTCGGTGAATAACATCTTATACAATCTGCGATGTTCCCAGAGAGAGGAAGGTCATAATTCATAAACATTATGTTATTATTTCATTTGCTGTCAAAGTAACACATTTACCGATTCATGTACTCTCAACTTGGAGCAACAATTTGGCGCTAAGTATCGTTTCAAACAATACGACAACCAACTAATCCCTGAAAGTAATACTTGTGAACGACTAAAAAAATCAGTAAATTTCATCGACAAAATTGAGGAAACTGATGTCAATCATATAATCACAGAAAACTAAACAAACCTAATGAAGATCATTGTATCAATGTTAAGGTTGGGAACTTGAATAATAGACAAGTAGAACAATGGGTTTACACTAAATAATAATAATAATTCAAATTTATTTATTTATTATCATTTATTTTAACACATAGATATGGTACAAGGAGGCACCAAATACATATGCACCACACAAATCTCATTCGATATGTATGAGGGATGTGATACTGCCCGGGTGCCCAAACCGAAGCAGGTGATTTTCTTAGGAAACCACTCCCCGAGCCTTCGACCTGAAGGTCTGATCCACAAGGCAGTGGAGCATCGTTAGGAGATACAGTCCCGAACGAAGATGCTACCTTGACGCGGTGGTCGGGCAGCAACTCAAGGTCTGAGGACGAAGTCGTTCTGCTGACTGTAGAGGGGTGTGACAGCAGTAAAGTGTTTCCCTCGGACAACCAGCATCTGCAGCGATGCTGACTTCCCACAAGGACGGAAGGGGTTAGAAAAGGTCGACCAAAAATGTCACACCTCATCTTACCTCACGGATTTCCGTCTCTGGCGGTAAGGTCCTTTGAAGAACGGAGCTAACACGTCAAAAGCCTCCCACAAAAAGGCCGTGCGCGACCGGCCCTAAGCAGTTGTCCCTTGGGCTCTGCGGTCACGCTCCCAGGTCGTTAAGACCAACACTAATCCAATTTCCTTTTCAGGTTCCTCAAGAAATACCCTTCCACGGTTTGAGCAGCCGGGAAGTGACATCAGCCCTCATACCCGTAACAACACACGAGACCAAGTTGGTCACATTCAAATCCTTCCTACACCTCCTAATACCTCTCTTATCTCCCCGACTAACCCTCCTCACGTCTCTTTATCACCTCGCACCGCTAGGGCAAACGATTCGAGTACGCGGAACGTTATTTCTGGTCTCCTGAAACCACGCTCTAAACTACACGTAGGAGCTTTTAACGTCCGAACACTGTGTCAAATAGGACAGCAGGCTTCCTTAGCTAAGACTTTAGAGTCCCGCGCCATCGATGTGTGCTGCGTCTCCGAAACGCGCATACAGGATCCGAGTAGCGTCATTCACTTCACCTCACCATGCCAAAATAAAGAACCGACTCGATTTACGCTTCGTGTATCTGGAAGCCCTTATTCTGCTTCCCGTCGCCTCGCCGGAGTAGGTATAGCATTGAGTCCTAGGGCAGAACTAGCTCTCTTAGAGTGGATCCCAGTAGACAGTCGTTTGTGCGCTGTCCGACTGAACGGAACAGTAAGAATCCGGAAAGATAGGGACACTCGTCGTTGCCTCTTCGTCGTCTCTGCCTATTCTCCCACTGACTGCAGCTCAGATGGTGTAAAAGATGAGTTGTACAGAAAGCTTTCGGAGCTTCTCCGAAAAGCTAAGCGCTCGGATGTAGTAATAGTGGCCGGTGACTTTAATGCTCAAGTAGGTAAACTAAGCGATAGGGAAAGACACCTAGGTGGATCTTATGATGTCGTGGCTCAAAGAACAGATAATGGCGTCCGTCTGTTGCAGCTATGCTCAGATAACCGCCTGTTCCTTGCAAATACTAACTTTAAGCATAAGGAAAAACATCTTTTAACATGGCGACCCCCTAATTCGTCCCAACGTTAGACCCAAATAGATCACATCGCTATCAGCCACCGATGGAGGGGCTCGATAGAAGACTGTCGCTCATTCTGGAACACATGCTTAGACTCAGATCATGCTCTAGTACGAGCGCGTATCTGTCTGCATCTTACTGGACGTAGGAAAGACGCTGCAGGGAAACCTCTTAGGGGCCTACTTAATAATAGTCAAGCTAAGAGTATATTTCAGGAACAACTAGGAAAACAGTTAGGCAGCCATGTATGTGATGTCCACCCCGAGGCAGCATGGAATGATATCCGAAAAGCTGTGGAAACGACAGTGATATCTGCTAGTAAGGTAAACCAGAAGGTTAGGGAGCAACACTGGATTTCAGCAGCATCTATCGCACTGATAGATGCTCGGAAACTCATTCCACCTGGCTCTGAACATAATGAAGAGCGGAGTCAGCTTAAGCGCAAGCTGACAGGAAGTCTACGCAATGATCGTGAACAGTGGTGGGTAGCGAGAGCAAGAGAGATGGAAAAGGCAGCGGCAGCAGACAATCGTTCAGACTTGTCAAGGAAACCGGTATTAGGAAACCGACTGTTGACGAAACACTCTCTCATACATTCTCAATCCAGGAGATTGGATCGATGGGCAGAACACTTAAGGGATCAGTTCAACTGGCCTTCAGCCACACTTCGGTTTCCCACGATCTCCAGTCAACCTGAATGGCACGTTAATGTAGGTCCTCCCTCTCTTTGCGAAGTTGAAAAAGCCATAGGAAATCTGAAGCGAGGGAGAGCAGCAGGCCCTGACAAGTTTACTCCTGAGATTTTTAAGGATGGTGGTCCAGTATTAGCAGTGAGATTAACTGAGGTCTAAGGTAGAATTTGGAAACTGGATGTAATCCCATCTGACTGTTCTCAATCACTGATTGTGCCAGTCTATAAGAAAGGACAAAATCCCTCTTGTGACAATCACAGAGGAATCAGTTTGACTAATATAGTGTCTAAAATATTAGCTTCAATAATACTTCGACGCCTAATTAAAGCTCGTGAAGAGCAGACTAGAGAAAACCAGGCTGGACGTGGTTGTATAGATCAGATATTCACACTACGTCAGATTCTAGAACACAGGCACACGTTCAGACGTCCCATAATGATAGTATTTCTCGACCTTAAGGCGGCATTCGACTCTGTTGATCGTGAGGTTCTATGGCAGTGTTTGTCACTGAAAGGAGTACCAAAGAAGCACATTAACCTTATGAAGGCTCTCTACTCGAACACAACTGGTAGAGTGAGAGCTTATGGTGGACTGTCATCAGAATTCGTCAGGGCTGTCCACTCTCACCATTCTTGTTTAACTTTGTAATTGACGTGCTTTTGTAGATGACAATTTCCTCATCTAAATTTCCAGGGATTGAACTTCTACCGAGAAATTCATTTGTTGACTTATAATAAGCCGATGACATAATCCTAATTGGTGAAGATGCTGACAAAATGCAGACTTCTGACCACTCTAAGCAACAATGCAAGCATGCTCGGGATGCGATTCTCCCCCTCGAAATGCAAAATGTTGGCTCAGGATTGGGTTGCATTGACACCCGAACTAATGATAGGAAGTGAAGTAATTGAGCGTGTCGATCGCTTCACTTATCTTGGAAGTCTCATCAGCCCTTGTGGTCTGGTGTGTGACGAAATCTCAGCACAGATACAGAAGGCTCGATTAGCTTTTGCCAACTTGTATCATTTATGGCGTAGGCGAGATATCCGTCTATCAAATAAAGGATGTGTTCACTGTGCAGCAGTTCGTTCGGTCCTACTTTATGGCTGTGAAACATGGCCGGTAAGAGTAGAGGATATTCGTAGGTTACTAGTATCCGATCATAGGGGTCTTCGAATCACTGATCGTATATCTTAGAACAACCGAGTAAGTAATCCAGTTGTTAGGAAACGGGTACTAGGTAAGGATGGCAAATCAATTGATGAAGTGCTGAAACTTCATCAGTTGAGATGACTGGGACATGTGTTACGTATGCCCAACCACCGACTGTCTCGATGTGTGATGTTCAGTGGTATAGGAGTAGGTTGTAAGAAAACTAGGGGAGGCCAGACCAAAACATGGCACAAGTCCATGAAGTCACTGACAAGTGGACTGAGCCATGTTGGTAGGTGTAGACTACCTGGTTGGGGACCGCGAGATTATATCAACCGATGGTTAGAGACCCTGAATGACATGGCTCAAAATCGTTTGCGATGGTGTGCGCAGGTGCACACACTCTCTGTGTTCTCCAAAATCTTGATCTCCGTATTCCACCTTGTCTCTTCAAACACTGATTTTCCCGATTACTCTTATTACCTCTACCACTACGGAATTTAAGTCGACCACTGCATCTCTGTGCTAATGTGGTGTAGCAACTCGAACTGACGTACGTACGTACGTACGAAGTTCTACGTTGTTGCTGACTGACTGACAGTCCCATAGAAGCCGGTGACCAACAATTGGTTCATACGCCATTTGTTCCTGCAGGATACTGGAGCCCATGTGCACCATTGGTTTGGTTTGGAATCCGGGTAAAGCGCTGGACATTCGCTTTTCGTCCTCTCATTTTCGTAAACAACACCCCTGGTGTGAGATGGCAGTGAGTAGGACTTCCCTGGCAGAGGCTGTATACGCGTGGCCGTGTGAGAGTATTTCGAGAGGGAAAGCGGACTCTCCCCACTCCCGGCCGTACCAGCGCATTTGGGGGCGAATAGCTTAAATCAATGACAACAATGTAATGAATAGGCAACCAATAATATACATTACATACACACTGTACTTACTTTAACTCGTTTTTCAAATGGTATAACAAATGGAACTTTTTTCAATAATAAGACTTGACGTATTTGACGATTGGATAAAGAAAATGATTCTAGTAACACTGACATTTAAAAGAAAAAACAGACAAACAAATATGTATTAGAAATTATTTTGCTATAGAAACATTTTGAGATAGACAAAAAGAGTACTAGAAGTATCATTCTATTGCTGAAGGGAATTGAGAGAGTGCCTTTGTTTAATATACCTAGAGTATTATGTTACTTGGCTCTATTCAATAAGTTGTACCTGTAAACTTAAGGAAATCGATAATCCCTGTAGGATTCATACCCGTTTAATTCAATTTGAATGTCAGAAACATCTACATACTGAGAGTTAGATAGGTCACAATTGAATCCATTTAAGGATTGAAAGTTGTTTGTACTAAGTTGGATATGGGTGATCATTACTCAGGACAAGCCAACTAACTAATTAATCAATGAGTTCTCAAATAACTTAAGTTTGTGACAACTAATTACTGTAAAAAATCTTCTCAGATCACGCAGCGAGCGCTTAACAGGCCGACCACTGCACTGACACAAATGATTCACATTTATAATTTTAATCAGTTTAATTCACTACATATCTAAACTCTAACAGTCACGACTTCTCACTAGAAAACTTCGAATTCAATCCTCAGTGGAATTCTGAATATGTACTGTTGAGGAATTCCATACTAGGACAAAACGGCTGTGCATTACTTACTGGTTTTCAATGATTATTTAACTAATTTCAGTCAATGATGCCTCTAATCAATATAATATGACAAATAAATGACACTACACTAACCTTGATTTCGATCTGGATTCAAAATACTATAATAACCAAACGGTGCACCAGCTAATGCCAATGTATTTTGATAACCATGATTTTCAAACCATGAAGATTGTGATTCTGTAGTATTTAATAAATCAAATAAGTTATCTTTCAACCAAAATGTTTGACTAAGACTTGGTGTGCCAAGTGGTAGACGTGGTGAATTGGTTACGCGTGCAATATCAGTTGATGAGGATGAGGATGAAAATGTAGATGATGCATTTGTAGAAGCTGTTGTCGTTGTGGATTGTGGATTTTGTAAAAGGTAGATAGGCAGACTAGTATCTTGTTGACGTCGACAACGACGATCCCAATCATAGATTTGAAATACTAATCGTTCAACTCGACGCAGTAAACTACACCAACAATATAGTAAAAGACGAAAATCCGGTATCGACTGAAAGAAAAAAACAAGTTTTATACATACAGAATGAGAGAGTAATCAATTGTTAAATTCAGCTATACGCATAAATACATACACAATTCTGCATAAATCTGGAGAAATGGATTAGCGGTTAGGACATTCAACTTTCAGCTACTAAGTAGTAGGTTCAAACACACCTCACCTACTTCGGTTTAACCAGCCGCTCAGTATTAGTAGCCCTCAAACTTAGAGTGTGGATCAAGACCAAGTACATGTATTTGCCCCTGGTTGAAGAGCTAATAAATAAGTATGAATATTAAGGCAAATAACACAGCAAGTGGATATAATGTGCTAGTTGAAAGTAGTCGAACAGAAACACTGCTCGATGCATGGTTTCGTACTTATCAGTAGGATTTGCCTACAATATTGAGGAAAGTGATGCTGCCTGTAGGATTCAAACTCACGTTACTCAGGTTCACAATATAAGACATTGCTACGGAGCTATCCAGTCTCTTGTTAAGCGTTTTTCGCTTTACATGACTTTCATTCACATATGTCTACATGTATATACACTAACAATAAATACACGACCTGAAGTTATAAAACACTTAGTTTGAAAAGTATACGGTACATCAAATTTCCCAATAGTAAAAATATTCTGAATACATGTTAGTAAACTCTTTCTACATTCTTTTCCATTACTTAAAACATTCTTAAACGTCCCCGGAAGACAAGTTCTTCAGTTGTCCGGTTGTTTTATGTATTACTATCTACACAACCCCCTTAGTGTCACTCCTATATGACCATTTCAGCTAGGGAAAATGAAAACAAGTAGAAGACAGATAAGTTACGTGAGTTGAAGATGTCATATACTATGATGATCAAATTACGGAGAAGAAAAGTGCGTATAATTACTGGTGAATATACAGACTCATTAACATAAATTTACAACGAAATAATAAATTTCATGAATTAGGATTAGACAAATTCAAGGTGGTGAGGATCTAATAATAATGCAATTGGGAGTTGTAGTATTTAGGTCCATAATTAACGACTTTGATAGTGAAGTTAATCCAAATCTATATTTGGTAAATGAGTTATACTTTTAAGAGTTAGGAACACTATTGCTTGACTTGTTATATGATGCTCGTTGATAAACTCACAAGTGAACTTGTATATGAAATGGTTTACAAAATATTTGTTAATGACAGTTCACGAAAATGTAATAGCAATGTATTATTATATTATTTAAGAAAATGTTTTACCCATTGTGTATAATTTCGCATCATTAGATCACCAATAGGTGAACTGCCAAGATCGGCTATTTCGACCCATTGTTCTATTCTACGTAATACTGCACCATAATTTGGTTGTTCCATTGATTCTACACAATGTGTATCTGTTTGTAAATTACAGCGAGTTTGTTTCGGCACTTGATCAGGATGTGACAAATCAATTAGGCCGAGCATAAGATCACGAAGTCTTGCACCAACTTGTAATAATTCATCAGCACGAAAACCACAACCTCCTCGTGAGGGTTCACTATTATTATTGATTGGTTGTTGATGACGATAATCGTTGGAGTTGGTGTAGTTCGCTTCCGATGAGATGTCACAGATTTCCGAATCAGTTAAACATAATAAGCGATGATGAAGACAATCAGCAAATGTAAATATCAGTGGAAGATAACTGTTTAAATAAACAAATAAATAGGTTATTTGAAGAGATTGGTTTAACCTACAGGTGTTGTTCATAACAGATTGATAATATTTGGAATGACATAAAATATCAGTGAAACACTGAACAGCAATTTTGTCCCAATGTAGAACACCTTGGAAGTGAGTACCCGAAACCGCACTAGGGATCGAACTCAGGAACTTCGGATCTCTCAGAGTATAGACAACCGTTGAAATAATTAAATCCAATAATATCATTCCGAGTTCCATCAAGTGCGGAATAGCGCGATGACCATTCATAGTCAATAGTGACGGCTGTTCCACTACTAGTGGACACCAGCAAAGTGGTTCTAGTTGTTGGATGTTCAACGCCAGATCTGAAACTCCTGAATTAGATTCCCGGTGAAGTGTGTGAACTGTTAAGGAGATACACTAAGACGTAACAGCTGTTTTGTAGCACTCCAAACTAGATCAATTTTCAACGATTACTACATGGATGATTGTTATGCTGTTCCGAGTCCACAGACGTGAAAACGGTAGTCTGCATCTACCAACATGGCTCATACCAGAAGTCAGTGACTTCAAGTAGTGAAGCCACGTTTTCGTTTGGCCACCCCTAACTTTCTTCCAATCATCCCAAACACTAGTCAGCATTGCACGTCGTGGTAATCGTAGTTCAGACATAAGTGACACGTGGCCCAACCATCTCAGACGATGAAGATTCATAACCCCACCAACTGATTTACCATCATCATTCCTTAATACCCTGCCCCATAACCTTACTATTACTTACCCAGTGATCTCAGCACATACGAGGTTACAACATTCTTTTTAACAATTCATGAAATTCGTTTAGTTGTAAACCATATTGACAGAAGTCTAAATGGATTAACTAACTAACCTTTGAAGTTCCACTAAATGCGTAGGTAATTCACCCGAGCATAAAATATTAAACAATGTAGACATATTGGTATTTGAATAATTTAATGTTGATTTATTTAAACATTTAGTATTTTCAATTAATTTCCATAAACAACGTAAATAGATTGTATACTGTGAATAAATTGAGTTAATGCTGAAAAGAATAAAGACAAAACAAGAAGAAGAAGAAGAAAGGTAAGAAGAAATGCAAATTAAAAAAGACAATTATTAATTAAATAAGCATTAAATATAACATACCAATTAGTCAACAACGACAAAGAAAACAAACGTAGAACCTAACATAAACATGTAGATCGGTTCAAGTTTTCCAACTAGATGAAGATAAATTACCAGGGTTGGAGAAATAGTTATTGATTTACACATATAAATATCGGTACAATGAAGCACCAAATACATATGCTCCACACAAGTCACTTGATTTGTGTGAGGGCTGTGATACTGCTCGGGTGACCAAACTGAAGCAGGTGGTTTTCTTAGAGAGCAACACCCCGAGCCTCCGACCTGAAGTCTGATCCACAAAACAGTGGAGCAACGTCATGAGATGCAATCCCATGGTAGTCGGTGACCAACAATAGGTTCATACACCATTTGTTCTTTTAGGATACTGGAGCCCATGTGAACCACTGGTTCGGAATCAGGATTTTCCGACTCCCATAGGTGGATCCTCCATATTCATTAACCCGGTTACATGTTTGTGTGGACACACATACATAGGGAGGAGTAATCGAACAATGCAATCAAGGGTCAATGAACATGTGCCTAAATGGCTTCAAAATCAATGTGTGTCAAATGATCCAATCAATGTGAGAGTTATAAAACCAGGTTCATCGATAGTGAAACATATAATTGAAACGGGGCACAAAATTGACATTAATACAGCTTTTAGAACGTTGTATAGAAATGGTCAAGAACGAATTCTTAAGTTTATTGAAGCCTTGGCTATTTGTAAATTTAAACCCCCCCTTATGTGTACAAAAACAATTTGTCGTAACCTTGAATTTACCTTGGTAATCCTTAAGTCATTCTATGGCCCAGGACAACGCGACAATTTCTTATTCTTTCTCCCCCCTTTTGTTATTTTACTTGAACTTTTATTTAATTGACTTTTATTAATTTTCATATAAAAATGCCTTGAAAAGTATATGTGTGTGACCAGATTGTTCGAAATGTATAGCGCAAATACATCACATTTTTCAGATAAACTCCGTCTTCTCATTGTTCTATCGAAGCCCGCTTAGTGCCGAACATTCGTTTTACGTTCTCTCGATTTCGTTAGGAAACCCCCTGCCGTCAGAAAACAGTGAGTAGGACTTCACTGGCAGTGATTGTACGCACATGACCATGTGAGAGCATTTCGAGAGGGAGAGCTGACTCTCCCCACTCTCGGCCGTACCAGGTTATTTGAGGGCTGGAGAATTAGTGACATTATCCATTAATGGTCATAGAAACGATTAGGTATAAATAATGTGACTGAATAAGAAAGGGTAAGATAAATTTGTGCAGTGAAAATTAAAAGTATTTTGAAATAAAAAACATCTGTAAAATTGTGAATAATTCTGAGATATGTCACTTAACGATCATATCATGGATCCCAACTAGGTAGTTTGTACCTAACAGTACAGATTAGTTTAACAATCAAGAATTTTACGAACTGATGCTAAATTTTCATGTGCGGCTGCACGTAGCTTTTTTAAAAACTATTCCTATACGAGTGGACATTGTGTGTCGATGTAGGGTCTCAGGTACCTATATTGGGGAAAATTCAGAATCTAATCAACTGATTTGTTACTCTATATCTCGTACTCTATGTACAATCTCAACATTACTCACTTCACGGTCCTAATACACGTTTCAAAGGTGTGGATGATTAAATACTAGTAAGCTGGGAATATTTAGCTGCAGAGGTCATGTGAGAAATACAGTATAGAGACAAATGACATCGAAAAATGAAAAGTTAAAACTGACATAGAATATGTAGAGCACCTTTTATTGATTAAGAGTAATTCTGATGAAACTAAATCATCGAACCTAATCAGTTCAGGAGCCTGATTACAAATTGTCAATATGATTGTGCAATCAATACGTTGTAATAATGATTCCAAGTGTACGGAATATAAATACCTGAATATATGAGTCTAAAATGAGTACAAAATATCAATCAAATGATTTTACATACCGTATTAATGATGTCCTAGACAGACTACATACTTGAGAAAGGCAATAATGTAGATATGATGAAGAACGAATTAATTCCAATTTATCTGAATTATCCAAATCACTATTGAAATTTTCCAGTGTAGACAATGAGCTAGCTGCTAGCGCCGGTAAACTATGACTTAGTGACGCAGAGATTTTTGTCAGTTGAGAAGCCTAAAAACAAAAACAAAGAAAGTCAATCAATGTTTACTTATAAACCTCCTTCATTCGTCTTTATAATACAGTATAGACAAACTCTTGAATTCTGATTGCCTATTAGCTAATTAGACAATTATCCATTAGAATCTGAGTCAGGAACTATAACTATAAAATCTTAATCAAAGAGGATGATATATACATAAAATACCTTTTGAGTATGCAAGTGTTCAACTGGGGAATAAATATTTCAATGGTTGAGATCATGAGTCAATTGAAGCTAGACCACCATGGAAAACCCGAAAGCACTGGGTCTGTTGTGAGATAGTAACTCATTGAAGACATTGGTGGATGTGTCGCTCAATTTCGTGGATTGGTTGAGGTTAGACATGAACACTATTGGATGCTGGCCGGCTCAGTGGTCTAGTGGTTCAGTGCTCGCGTGCGAGACTGATAGGTCATGGGTTCGAATCTCGCGTGGCGAGGTCGTGGACGTGCACTGCTGAGGAGTCCTATACTAGGACGAAACGGCCATCCAGTGCTTCCAGGTTTTCAATGGTGGTCTAGCTTCAACTGACTCATGATTTCAATCTGTGAAAACAAATTAAATTCACAAATCACAGATATTCTTTGTGTATTATGTACGCAATGAGCTTCACTAAATAATGCAATGGTTAGTGATGATAACTGACTGGTTGAACTATGATAAACAAAGAGAGATTTGAAATAACAACCTGTTAGATGGGCGACTCGATGACAAGTACCCGTGAGATTTATGTGCATATCAATAAACATTGAATAGTGGTTAATAGTAAGATGAATAACATATGTTTCGTCTAATTTGGAACTTATGATATAGTTATATATCTTCATGGTATAAATCACATTCTAAGTGTGAGGGCTTATGATATTACGCGGTTGACCAAACCGAAGTAAGAAGAGCAGGTTTCGAATCCAATGACTTAAAGGCCAGAAGTCGAGGACCCTAACCACTAAGCTACCGTCCCACATGACCTCTTATTATTAGTACTAAGGCTTCAGGTTTTCCCATCGTTAATATTTAATAATGAATTTGGTTAGCCCCTTCTATGTTGGTATATGGATCAAATTAATAGATGCCTTGATATTTATTATATTAGCTGTGTTTATAAATTGGTAGTATTTAGAAGAGAGGTTGGACTATAGTAGGTTAAATCCAAAGTGAATTGTAAAACTTAGTATTTGGTTATTAATGAATGGAATCGCCTAAATTTGATGTTTAACAGGTAGGTAGGTGTTTTTATCCATAAATTGACTACTTTAAAGTAAAAATTTTCATTGAACTCATATAGGTTAAAATGTATTCCTCAAAAACTATAAAATAAGTTTATTTTCTAGGAATGATACAATGAATATGAGTCGTTTAAACTGTATGGTGTATTTATCATTGCCGACCAGAGTACCTAACCTGTTAGATACTATCTATTAGTGTTCTTGTGACATTTTAGGCCTCTAGATCTACTAAAACTAATGTAACAATATGGTACTACCGCTGTGATAGGTTCCAACCCCGCTCCGCATAAATTGGTCTGACCATCAAAATAGTATCAATGGTTCTTACACATAAATAGCGTGACTCAAAGCCGAGAATACAAAACTAAATTTGGTAAATGTTTTTAGAAAAATTCACGAAACTCTCATAGTATTCCTAAACAATATGTGCACCACACAAGTCATTTGATTTATGTGAGAGCTGTGATACTATCCGAGTGCCCAACCCGGTTAAAGTGCCGGACACTAGTTTTTCTTTTTCTTAATTTCGTAAAGAACAGCCCTGCCGCGAGACGGCAGTGGTCGTATGCACGTGGCCATGTAAGAGCATTTCGAGGGGGAGATTGGAAACTCACCACTCTCGGCTGTACCGGAGCATTTGAATTTACTTATATTGGTACAAGGAGGCACCAAATAGATATGCGCCACATAAATCAATCGATCTGTGTGAGGGCTGGGATACTGCCCGAGTGCCCAAACTGAAGCATTTTAATTAGTCAAAAATATAAATAACCATCCACTTTTTCTGACGCATCTTAAGTATGAACTGACTGCAGTCTCAATTAAATCATTCAACAATATTAAAGAGAATACAACTATATAACCAAAACTTCAAAGACAAAAACACACATTTTCGACAAAAGCGAAACAAAGATAAGAAATATACCCATACTGGTTGAAACAAGACAGCCTCTGAAATAAGACTACAGTTATTAGTACTTCTAGTAAATTCAGCTGACATTTTCATTTCCTGATCATTGATTTCCACTCCCTTCATTCTATTATGATTATCATTAATCTTGTTGTCGTCATCAACACCATCGTCGTCATCCGATAATTCTTCTCCTTGTCCAATTCGTAGTTGTAACGGTTTAGGATCAGTAATTGGACGAACAATAGGCAGATGAGGTTCCGTTAAACAACTCATAAGTATCCGAGCAACAAAACGTATCGTTATCGCAGCTTCTAAAGGTGAACCAGACCATGTATAATGTGTGTAAGATTCAGTAGCTAACAGAACTGGCAATGATTCGTCACCTCCTTCTTCCTCTGTCACTGCTTCTTCATGATTATCATCGTCATCAGTATCTTGTATCATTGATGACTCGGTTGTATGGACAGTTGAACTTGATGTGGTTGTGGTTGAATCACATTTTACTAACATGCCAGGTATAGCCACAGTCACAAAAAGGTGTAATAAATCTGTTTTAACAATAAAAATCAATGGATGGATTTAAAAACAGTTTTGGGACATTTACTTTCATCAAATACTTCATTCGATCAGTAAGTCATACTCTACCTAGAGCCTGATACATCTATCAGTCGTTTCAAGTTGCCACACCCCGTTAGCACAGATGAGATATACATTCGTGCACTTGGCACTAGGTTACACTCTACGTGTGAGAGACAGAGTGATACCATTACCTGGTTGACCGGACCACAGTAAATGGAGCTATCTTAAAACCTATGATTTGGTGGCTAAAAGTCAGATACTTCACTCATTAAGCCACCCACTACTCCACAAAGCGGTATGTGAGGAGTCGAACCCGGGTAGCTCGAAAAGCAGACGATTAGTCATTTGATCGCAAACAACAGCCGACCTCTAAAAGCACAAAATTTAAGTACAAGTATTTTGTGGTTGCAAGAATTTAAGTGAGACTACTAAATATATGTGCCCTATGAGTGGGAAAAGTTATACTAATACATACAAAAAAACTTCACAACATAACCTTACTACTCACTACAAAGAATTAGATGGAAACATTAGGAGTAGTATGTTTACATGGAAGATAAAATAATTTAGGTCAATAATATAGCATAACTGAATACGAGTAGGTGGAAAGAATGAATAAACACATTTGGTGTGAAATAGATTGGAATCAACTTTTGATTCTTCTTGATAACATTCAACAACAATCTAAGGTTACCTAGAACTGTGGTCCGCCTCATTTTTCGGCATCGTCATCGTCCACTGTTCATAATTATTGCGTAGACTGTCTCAGTATCTTTCGCTGCTAGCTATATTCGTATCACGCTGGAGTGAAACATATTTTATTTATGTGTCAGGATACATCGGAATGAAAGTTTTCTTCAAATTCCACTGAGTAAACAATTATTTCTTCTGGAAAATCACTATAGCTTTATTCGATTATATCCCTAAATTTTCCAGCGCCATTACAATGCAAAAGCACGTGCTTGATTCGAAGTACAGTTGCATTCCATGCATATACTTTAGAATCATCAGTGACTTAACTGAGCCCTTCTACTGATAACTGATTGAAAGAAAGTTGATAAAAAAGTATCCAACGTAGAGTTCATATTGACGATTATCAGATTATTAGAAAACTCACTTGAAATCTTTACAGGAGTCACTGATTGTCAGAGCGTAGTTGAACCGAACGATCACTCATATCTACTTACTAGAACTCATAAGCCGTATCTAAATGTGGTTCTGCGTAAACTAATCAGTATAATCAGTCATCACTCTTGCCAGATATGATAAATCTGAAATGGTTGTACAGTTTTAAAGGATAATAACCATTTATTTCGATAAAACACTACAAACATTTTACGGGGCGTAACTCCAGTACCTTTCACTTCACAGACTACAATCAGCTGAGAAATAGTTGAGAAGTGCAAACCCTCCCTTTCGAACCCAAAGTAATACCTTTACGTATGAGACTACAGAAGTTGCAGTCATATATTTAATTACTTGAAGTATGAATAATGTGGCTTGTAGGAACACCCAACCCATGCATTGTATAAAATGTCAGAGCTTTATCTAGTGGTACTTGTCTGGTTTTAAAGTAGGTTAACTCATTATTATTATTAATAAGCATGACCATTTTTGTTTTCTGATTGATTTTGTTGTTCCCTTTAATTTGCTAAGTTTCCTATGTCCCAAGGATTTGTCGCCATATATACAGAACTGTTCTACTTATGTTCGGAACATACTTAGAGGTCGATCCTCTCTATTGCTTATTAACTTGTGGATTATTAACGTCAAAGTATTGTCATATATCAGTGGATGCATGAGAGAGTTAGCATTATTTTACGTTCACACTAGAAGAGATCTTAAAAAGTTTTTGATTAGAAATTACCTTAGATCTAAATGAATTAAATCCCAAATCGTAGATAATAACAACTAGGTTACAAAAATAGAAGCCCCAACATATAGTTTAGGGCATAGTGTTAAGAAATCTAAGAGCAAAGAACATGATAATTAATGAATTACGGAGTGATGAATTACAGAGCTATTGAAAAAGGGTGAAGACTATACATCAATCTAACAGCTAGTTATGCAAACAAAGACATGTATAAAATAACATTTACAAATGATGCTAATTCTTGATAGCAAACAAAAAATATTTACATATGAGGATTATTGTGAAAACAAAACATATAAATGTTACAACGTACTTACTGATAGAAGGAATCAATGAAATAGTTCCATTATGTGGTCGTTGTTCAGTGTTTAATTGGCAATTTTCATTCTCAACCGCTGTTAAACATCCATGAATAACAATTTGATGTAGATTAGGTAGTTTGAACATTTCCATACCAACACTGAGTATAACACGTTCACCGATAATATAAGTATTGTGATCATCAATGGTTGATATGAGAATATCATTTAATGCTGTGAAAACAAGTTCACGATACAAATCGACCATTGGATTCTACATAAATAGAAGGAAAAAAATAGGAAAATACAATAGGACTGTAAGATTTGTGAAGTTCACTTAGCCGACAAGTGAAAATTATATGCATAGAACAAAATTCTTTTTCTTTGTATTGAATATCACAGGATAATTATTAGTGGAATCCATTTTGGAGTAATCAATCATCTGAATATATTTCATATATCTAAGCAAGTATTACTTATACTACTAGTAGTAGAGCTCTGCTTCTTTTCATTTTCATGTTACCATATTGAGAATGTGACATTTTCAAATATAAAGTATGAAGGAAAAAAAATCCATCTTAACATTTACCAAATCTACATATAATCGAATAAATTTCAATGTGATTCAATTCTTCTAAGATTTTTATACAAACTTGTACTTTTTACTCTAGTTAACGGGTAGAAGTGAAGAGAATATAAACAATTTTGTTCATTGTAAAGAAATTAGAGTTGTAAATAACAAGCTAAGAGCATAAGCGTATCACAGTTGACACTTACCAGCACAGTGTATCTATTATCTTGAATAATTTCATGTAATTGGTTCCTTTCATAAACTTTCTGAAGTCAACAATGATATATTTGTAAGATATTGTGAATTCGTTTAAGTTTTGTGAGCTCCATATCTCTCATATACGAGTACTTGTATCTTTGCATGCTGTTACGGTTATGAGGGCTGGTGTCACTTCCCGGCTGCTCAAACCGTGGAAGGGTATTTCTTGAAAAACCTGGAAAGGAAGTTGAATTAATGTTGGTCTTAACGACCTGGGAGTGTGACTGCAGAGCTTAAGCGACAACTGCTTGAGGCCGGTCGCGCACGGCCTTTGTATGTGGGGCTTTTGACGTGTTAGCTCCGTTCTTCAAAGGGCCTTACCGCCGGAGAAGGAAATCCGTGAGGTAAGATGAGGTGTGACATATTTTGGTCGACCTTTTCTAACCTCTTCTTTCCTTGTGGGAAGGCAGAATCGCTGCAGATGCTGGTTGTCCGAGGGAAACACCTTACTGCTGTCACACCCCTCTACAGTCAGCAGAACGACTTCGTCCTCAGACCTTGAGTTGCTGCTTTTGGTCTTACCGTTCTCCAATCGACCTGCCTGGCATGGTAGAACCTACGGTAACATATGTTCCAGCCGATATAGCTCGGTTGGGTCATCACGATAGGCAAGCCCGACCACCGCATCAAGGTAGCAGCTAAGGTTGGATAATCCTTATTCAATCAGTGCTAGTCGATACTTGAAGAACACTCTAGAAACTTCTCGTGTAAAAACTATAAACATACTAACGTTTTTCTTATTGTGCTTCTTACTTCCATCTACCCTTGTTATTTGGAATATAATTTCTTTCCCGTCCAACCGTGTTCTGATTTGTGGACTTGTCGAGTGAGTTGGTGTCTAAGAATACTAAGCAATAGGAATAGCTGGGTTGCAGTAAGAGAGAATTATAACACCAACTATCACTAAACGTGTACTTTTTTCATTGTAAATATAAACAGTCTATATATAACAAGTACAAACTGTGAGATAAACATCTAACTACACAGTCGATTACTAATAATTTATTGCCCTTCAATAATAAAACGATAATTACGATATGATCATAAACAACATGAAGGCATCTAGGAAAACTGAGAATGTTTGGCAACTCTCTGTTCAATTATCATTGCCTCTGAAAGTTTACTAGCATCCATTAACAACATTACATTAGTGATGGGGGAGATGTAACAAAGTGTGTTGGGTCACCGTGAAGATAAGTTCACAGATTTTGCTATTTGTAAAAACACCAGCTTCAGTGGTTTGCATGTGTCAAGAATGTCATCTTAATGAATTTCACATAATGCAATAATTGTCGACACTGGGACTGGGTGGAAAAAGCAGCGGAGTGATCAACATATAATATGGTGCTATGTCACAAAAGAAAGCTTTACAATACTGGCAACTGTCGTCCCACTACGACTACCTGGTTGAGGTCGTTTTAAAGATGGTTGAGGTGTCATTAAAGATGACTCAGAATATAAGCCAGTAGCTGTAATGATATGATTTACTTAAGGATTCTTCATAAAAGTAAGGGACTTCCTTAACTGAAAGAAGTCAGTCAGCTACAACGTAGCACCAGGCAGATGTATACATCGGTCCAAGTTGCCATACCTCATAAACACAACAACGAATTCATAGAAACAGTTACTTCAGTAGTAGTGATATATAAAAAGATTGTATATAAGAATATGATACAAGGAGAAAGAGTTAATTTGCAGAAAGAAATGTGTAAAGTAATTTTAATCTCACAGTTTAAAGGAAGACAAAGAGTGTACACACCTACACCATTGTAATCGATTCTGAGCTATGTCACCCAGAATCTCCAACCATTGATTACGATAGTCGCGCGGACCCCAACCAACTAGTCTGCATCTCCCAACATGGCTCAGACAAGAATTTAATGACTTTATGGACGATGCTACGTTTTGGTTTTGTCGCCCCTAACTAACTGAAAGAAGTCCTTCTTGGTTGTATTTTTTTAAACTAAACTCTATCTCCCTATTGTTGTTTTTTTCACTGCACTTCCCTTTCCTGCTTTACCTTTTTTCACAATGTCTTTTCCTTTTATTTTGAGTAGTGCATACTTAGTTTTAGTATCAAATTGTATCAGATTTTAAGCGTATTAAGTAAAATAGAATATTCAATCACCAATCAGTATACATATATGTTATTGAAAGAACAACAAAAGAATTATCACTTACAGAAAATGGGCTACCATTATCCGATAGGTTAAAAGCACATTTCAACGGTGCAATTATTAGATTAATAAAAGGACGAGTTTTTGGTAATTTGAAAAATTCCACAGGATCAAATACTTGTGATTGGGTAGTGAAATCTTTAAGGTAACCACCAGTTGTAGTTGGTAATTGTTGATCCATAAAATAAGCCAAATGATTAAAATAATGATGCTTTGATAAATGTCGACAAATCCATTCAATACTGAAGTATAGTTGTTTTGAATATAAAGAGATTTTTGTAGATGAACATGTTCCGATTAAAATGTTGAATAATTCCTCTAATACACGAATCGGTAATGTATAGTTTGATGATGTTGTTAATGATGGAAGTTTTGTTAAATATCTGTAGGGGAAAAAATGAAATAATAAAAGGGATTTTAGTGTTTTACAGCAGCGAAATTAAATCATGTAAGCTGATTTGTATATGGCCCCCAAATGCTCTGGTACGGCCGAGAGTGAGGAGAGTCAGTTCTCTCTCCAAATGCTCTCACATGGCCACGTGCATACAACCACTGCCAGGGAAGTCCTACTCACGGCCTCGTGGCGGGGGTGTTGCTTAAGAAATTGAGAGGACGAAAAGCGAACGCCCGGAGCATTAACCGGGTTGGTGGACATGGAGAGTCCACCTAGGGCAGTTGGAAAACCCTGATTTAAAACCAATGGTGCACATGGGCTCCAGTATCCTCAGGGAACAAATGGCGTATGAACCAATCGTTGATCACCGGCTTCCATGAGACTGCATCTCCTTACGATGCTCCACTGCGTTGTGGATCAGACCCTTAAGTCAAAGGCTACGGGTGCGACCCCCTAATAAAACCACCTGCTTCGGTTTGGGCACCCGAGCAGTATCACAGCTCTCACACATATCAAATGAGATTTGTGTGGCGCATATGTATTTGGTGCCTCCTTGTACTAATATCTATGTGTTCAAATAAATAAATGTTTGTATATTAGAAAACTATATAAGATGAGAAGGATTTTTTATTATGGTTTCTGAGCTGTATATGTTTAAAACAGAATATAGACTTTGGATGGTGTTTAGGAATAAAATCCTGGAGCTAAGTTTTGTCCCATTTGGGAATCGTCAGATGAATGTAACAATACCCCCGTATTTATGTTGCCACTGAGACTTGGACCCAGTACCTGTCTCTTCAAATGTTAGTGTATTTTCGACTAAACCACTGAATGCAGATAGCGTGTACCGTTCTTACATGTAAGGGTTTTTATCATCCAATTGTTGATATTAGATGGTGGTTGGAGGTAGTCGACAGGAAACCCTGGACCGATAGCATTCGATCTGCACTAATAAGGACTAGACACGCATGACATTGATCGCTACCCAGTGATCAATCAATTGTGAATTGTTGATATTCGAAACTACATCTAACTAATCTCTATTAAGATACATGCATTGTGGTGCGGACAGACATAAGTAGTATGTAGCAAGAATCGGAATTGAAATGTTTACCAGCAGGAGATTGGAATTATGAGAAGTGGGAAGAAAACAGAAAGCGATTGGAATAAAAACAGGATTAGAAGAATACTGGAGTATGTAAAGGACAACTCAAAGAAGATATGCAAATAATGCATTGAATGTATGATCATCATATTTTACAAAGGCACTGTTTGATTTTGCATAAAACAATAAATTGGTTTGCCGTACCTCAGTTTTCGTTCACTACAGAATCAAACAGTGTCGAATAAACTATAAATAAAAATTGGCTAGTAGTGAAAAGTAGGCAACATGAAATTGAATTTCAGAATTTCTTCCGAAAGATCTAGACAAAAGTATGTAAAGAAACCTTGAGAAAACATCGTCAAAAACACTTTTTAAAGATTAACTATACGAAAGTATTCCTGACTTCAAGCACTGATACCGACATGGCTCAGACTAGATGGAGTTTTGTTCTCTGAGCTGGATAGCTTGGTCCTGGAGTTATTTCATTTAATTCAAAGCTTGTAAAACAATAATATTTAATTTTGTCCCTAGTCTATTCTACATATCCATAAGCTTTCGTTTGATGTATGATTCACTGTCATAGCCCTTTTTGTTCCAAAGCTGTTGTAATTTAAGCGTATTATTTTGTACTCTATTTTCTAAGCTAATCTCCAGTTTTGGACATAATTGTATTTTCCTAATTATTGTACGTTGTGGTCGGGTTAGTCATGCATGTTTTTACACTGATCTGAAAACTGGAACCAGATTGGAATTGGAAATAAATCGTTTCGTGTTTCAGTTGACTTGTCTTCTCTCACTCGCGTGCTTGTCAGCCAATCAGGTGATGGAATAGTTTCCTTCTCTCTAACTCACTTCGAACTCACGCGTACTAGCCTCAAGGTTAAGCCGGTCAGCCTATCGAGTTAGGGTCTTAATCTCGATTAGATAAGTTATCCTCAGCACAAAAATGGATAGACAGATCGAGGACGTAACAAACGTAAAAACAAGAAAGCGTCATGGAAACTTACTTGACGTTGATTAATAACGAATTCCCTAGTGTGAAAATATGGTCAACAGAACCATTAGTTAACCAGTTGACTTGTGCATCTTTTCCATGTTTGGACAATAATAAACGACAAACAGTAAACTATGGTATCAATACAAAGAAAAAAACAAAATTATTTTATGTCTAACTTCAACTAATCCACGAAATTCAGCGACACATCCACCACTGTCTTCAATGAGTTACTATCTCATAACAGACATGGTTGAAATCCACTGGTCACTGTTTCTCACTAGAACTCCAGGAAATACGTCTTGGAGACCGTCACTAGTGAACATATATTGATTAATATCAGAAGGGGTTTTGTGGATATTATAGTAATTTTGATAATTGAGAAAAATATATATATATTTGAGAAATAAAATGTATCAATGAGAAATTAATACAGTGGTAACTCAATTGAGCACATACTATTGAAGAGCTCCAGACTAGGACGAAATAGATATCTTTCCTGTCTTCGAGCCAATTGTAAATATCACAATATTTTTGTCGCATATTCATGTAATACATAAATTCAAATGTGGCAGTCTCTTGATCTTAAACAAAAAAAGCTAGAATGAGAGTAAATTAACTACCATGGTAGTTCCCTTTGAATTTTGTCAGTAATAAACGAAGTCATAGGTTAGCAGACGTAATTTTTCAATTAGAATAAATCTGAAACAGCGAAATCCATTGCTTTATGTTCACAGTTGAAAAGTAGGTGGTCAATGGGGTTTCAGCAGGATCCCTTGTTTCTTCCTATATGGAACTGATAATTGTAGGAGGCATCAGTATCTACCTTGGAATGGTTTGCCGAAGATTGAAGTCAATGATTCACTGGATTAAGGGGTATTCAATAAGTGAGTTTCGGTGGATTATGGTGTCGACTATGGTTAATAGTTTGATGTAGTCTTGTCAGACTATCATATCATAGTGACCCAATCGAGGTATATTGGCTGGAAAATTAGTTCCAATAGATTTTATCAGGCCATGCTAGTCGGCTGAAGAGCGGTAATGTTAAAAGTAGCAAACCTAAGAATTGAAGAAGTTATAATGCCAAATTTACTGAGGTGTGACGGTATCAGAATGTTTCTTTCAAACAAACAGCGATCAGTTAGTCACAACATAGAACTTTTACTCATGTACGTCGGTTCAAGTTGTCATACCCCATTATCACAGCATGTGAACTAATATTTCCTTCCAAAAAAGGATTTTATTTATTATTTATTTGAACACATAAATACTGGTACAAGAGGGCACCAAATATATATGCGCCATACAAAACAATGAGAATAGGAAGAGAAAAAAAAGAAGATATGGAGCGTAAAAGAAAAAAACAATAACAATCAGATTAGTGTAAGGTAGTGTAATAATAATAATAATAATAATAATAATAATAATAATAATAATAATAATAATAATAATAATAATAATGGGGGAAACGGAAAGGTACAACCAGAAGAAATCTTTCAGTTAAGGAAGATAAAACCACTTTTTATGAAGTAAAAGAAGGTTACAGCAGGACCGCCACTGGCTTCTATTCTGAGCCATATCTGATAACGCCTCTACCACTGTGTCGCACCATCTTTCGGACCCCTCCAAAAAGGGAGGATGAATTTAAAATATTTATATCTCGAAAATGGCATACTACACCTTGTCCCATGGCTAAACCTTTAACAAACAACTACTTGTTAAAAGGTAGTGTGTGACCGGCCTCAGACGGTTGTCTCGGCAGACACGCTCGAAAAGCGTCAATATCATTACTAATCCAGTCTCCTTTTAGGGTTTTTCAAGAAGTATTCTTCCATAGTATGGCCAACCGAGAAGTGGCAACCTTCACTACACCTCTGACAACAATTTGGTGGATTATAGTGTTCAACGCAATTAACTTCCAACCATTATGGTTCAGGCTTCCATTTCAATGAATCTACTTGAGTTTAAGGATCCAAATTAGTACTATTGGTCCTTACAGAAAAGTGTATTTCAAAGCTGAGTAACATAATTCCATACTTTATTACTTGAGTTGCATTCATGAAAAAAGGTGAATTGTAAACAGAATGAAATATAAACAGTCTTTCGGTCCATATTTGACTTTTTTTATACAAATAACAAGAAAAAAAACAAACATACATTCTAACTTACAAGATGTTTTTGTTCCGGACTTTTATTACGATAGCATGTATTGAAACATTGAAGTAACTTCAATAATTTATGTTCAAATTCATGCTCCACATTGAAACCAGTTTTATTTATTATATCATCTAATTGTTTAGATAATTCATTCAATAATTCAATAAAGTAACGTTTCTAGAAAATTAAAAGAATGTTCATCAGAGAGAGAGACAGAGAGAGAAAAACGGAAGAACAAGAACGATGGAACCAAGTAAATATGTTTATAATAAAGTAACACTAGTCATTAAATTGATATCTACATGTTATAACTTGTAGCTTGAGTGCCCTGTTAATGTATAACGTAATGATATCGCCAATTAGAGAACAGTAATTTATCGATTAGACCAATGACGCGTAAAACACGTACGAGCAGTCTAGAGTCCTTATCGGTCCTGCTTCCGGTCTAGCCCCACCAGTTTAGTCCAGAACACCAATCTCAGTCTCTGCGATATTATTATTATTATTTATTTTAACACATAGATATTGGTACAAGGAGGTACCAAATACATATGCGCCACACAAATCTCATTTGATATGTGTGAAGGCTGTGATACTGCTCGGGTGCCCAAACCGAAGCAGGTGGTTTTATTAGGGGGTCGCACCCGTAGCCTTTGACTTAAGGGTCTGATCCACAACGCAGTGGAGCATCGTAAGGAGATGCAGTCTCATGGAAGCCGGTGATCAACGATTGGTTCATACGCCATTTGTTCCCTGAGGATACTGGAGCCCATGTGCACCATTGGTTTTAAATCAGGGTTTTCCAACTGCCCTAGGTGGACTCTCCATGTCCACCAACCTGGTTAAAGCGCTGGACATTCACTTTTCGTTCTTGCAATTTCATAAACAACACCCACACCACGAGAAGGCAGTGAGTAGGACTTCTCTGGCTATATACGCGTGGCCATGTGAAAGCATTTGGAGAGGGAGAGCGGACTCTCCCCACTCTCAGCCGTACCAGGGCATTTGTTTTAAACATATCGGGTTTATACACAAACCAAACAGACCACATCGTACCATAAAATAGGAAATAACATTTGCAGAAGATCTAACCAAAAGTGGATGTGAATAAGGGAGGTATTAATCGATAGACAGTGTATAATTCAAGAATGATAAATCGTAGAATAACAGTTCATAAATCAAAATAAAGCTTATGATGAGAGGAACAGGAGTATAAATAGTTTAATTACTTAACAATTATACAATATCAATATCCGTATATTATTGATGCATAAACGGATCCCAAATGATTACCATTTATTATCTTTATCAGGACATAACACTACAAAATATAAATTTGATATGAAATTCTTGATGTTGAAAGGTGTTATATAAATAGAATTCAGTTAAATAAGTCAATTTATGTAAGGAAATCGGTTTAGATTTACGAACTAGTTTTGCTGAAAGTCAACACTTCATGAAGTTTTGTTTTCTGAATTGGATGGTTTAGTCGTGTTGATAGAAGTGTCCTTTGTAGCTTCATCATCACAGAACAAAACTTGATAATGTGACATGTCTATCATCAGATACGGGTTTCTAATTTCAGTTGTAAATGATTTAATGTTGACTGATTAAACCAATGAATCTGTATACCTGTTGTTATATCCTTAACTTATATGACTATCTAGAAATACGATTGCCAAATTTAGATACGTTGACTTACACTGTGGTGTGAGCTACTTATATTGATATAAGTAGTATATAACGTGCGTTAAAAGAACGTAATGTCCGGCAGCAGAAGATGGCGAAGATCAAGAAAGGAAGAGCAAGAGCACAATGGAATTGTAAGAAAACGCATGTACAATGGAATGGGCGACAATGGATTAGTGTTTGCAACGGGAACAGTACAGTTTGATATGATTGAATGATATTTTGCAAATTGACGATTGACTTTATGGTATTCACATTTTATTGAGATAGTCTGTAATGTTTGTGCTAAATACAATCGATTGTCCCCACCCGTGTTCTTGTTCACTACATTTGGTGTCACTGCCAACCAGGAGAGGAGGAGTGTGCTGTTCTGCGGACGCCGTTGCGGGCTTGGGGTTGAGGTGCCAGTTGGGGCAGTCTGGTGCGGAGAGGTGGCGTCTGGTGAAGTGTCCTGGCGGGGCGGCGTTGGCTGTAGCGGGTGCTGTCGACGGAGTGGAGCGTCGGGACGCGCGGCTGCTGGGCGGACATCGGATGTAGATGGCTCAGCAGGCCGGTGGAGTGCGGATGTCAAGCGTCCCAGGTGCCGGGTGGATGTTGGTTGTTGTTTCCCCGGCAGGTCGACAGGGCTGTGGAAGTCAGCGCGCCGCAGACTCGACATCTTGACGGAGAGCGTGGCACAGACTGCAGAGACGGAGAATGTTGCACGGCGAGCATGAAGCACCACAAGAACGACTGCTTTAAGGGAGGGACGAGTGTGGTGTGAGCTACTTATATTGATATAAGTAGTATATAACGTGCGTTAAAAGAACGTAATGTCCGGCAGCAGAAGATGGCGAAGATCAAGAAAGGAAGAGCAAGAGCACAATGGAATTGTAAGAAAACGCATGTACAATGGAATGGGCGACAATGGATTAGTGTTTGCAACGGGAACAGTACAGTTTGATATGATTGAATGATATTTTGCAAATTGACGATTGACTTTATGGTATTCACATTTTATTGAGATAGTCTGTAATGTTTGTGCTAAATACAATCGATTGTCCCCACCCGTGTTCTTGTTCACTACAACACGACCAAATTAATGATGTATACACTACCACAAGAAGTCTAAAGTTTCGATTGGTCCTTATTCTGCCAAGCCCTGACTGTCAAGTCTAGAACGCCAATCTCAGCCTCCACGGTACGAATCATAATATTTCAAATATACTGAGTTTATATACAAATAAATCAGATCACATCATATCATAAAATAACAATTATACAATATCAGATCGAAAGTGGTTTTAATTGTAAGAAACTGGGACTAATCAATTGGGATTATCTCATTAATAGTAAATCGTATGATAATAGTCGATAGGTTAAATAAGAGCTCATAATGAAAGAAATATGAATATACATATAATATAGTTACTTAATAGTCATACAATAAGAATATTCGTATAATATTAGTCCATACATAATTCCTAACGGTTACTATTCATTCATTCTCGTTTGGATATAGCAGTTGTATACTTATTTCTTATCAGTTCAATGTGCTTCATTATATTTAGTGTATTCCACATTATGTACAGATGAATAGACTAAACTATTTGAAAACTCAAATCTAAATAATAATAATAAACTCAAACCCTAATCTTTCCGATTACTGCTTATACTTTTATTACCACTAAAAGATTTGAATCAAAAATTGTGTCTCTGTGCTAATGTTATATGGCAACTCGAACTGATGTACGTACGTCGGAAGTTCTACGATGTTACCGACTGACAGTATTATATACATCAACAAAATGCAAATGATTGGTAAAGTTTAGAAATCTTACCATTTTATTTCGTGCAACATAATCTCGGAGACATTTTTGAATTTTAGTAGCGGCACGTTCTTGTTTGACCATATTCTAATCAAATACACATGGAAAATGATAGAATTGTGAAATAACACACTTTATTTCATTAACAATATAATGTGTTACTTCGATGAAAAACAAACTATATCAAACAATTTTTGTAAGCAATGGTGGATAGTGGCTAGCAGTGGAATCCAGGGCGTGCGTTTCGTCCTACTTGGGACTCATCAGCTGGATGTACTTGCATCTCAGAGTTGATGTTTAATCTGGGACTCCAACCCAGTACCATTCGCTTCAAACGCCATCGCGTTATCCACTCAGCTACTGAGTCCTGATAGCCACTTGCTTGTGCAATGGGGTGAATTTAAATTCACTTGGTATTGTTTGGCTTGTATCTTCCAATTGAGGTTATAGACTGCAATTGATCAGTCTGTTATTGGCATATATGCATACTGTGCGTATGCCTCGATATTGCCTTAATTCGCAAGCTTTTTGTAAGCAACGATGGACAGTGACGATAGGACGAAACGCGCGTCCTGGATTCCACTGCTAGCCACTACCTATCTTTGCTTTTAAAAGCTTGTGATTTAATGCAATGTCGAGGCATACGCACAGTATGCGCGTATGCTAATAAAAGACGGATCAATTGCAGTCTTAGACCTCAATGGGAAGATACAAGCCAAACAATACCAAGTGAATTTATATCAAACGATATACGTGAGAAGACAAGTTCAATGCTATTATATAGTTCTTATTTTCATCGTATTTATATGTCATTCACCACAAGTATTGTTGTACTGTAGTGAATGAGAACATAAGTGAGGGGACAATCGGATGTATTTCAACACAAATTTACAGAACATCTTAGTAAAACCTGAGAATCACACGCTAAAAATAATCCATTTTTGCAACATGTTAATCAATTATCTCAGGTTTCATTGTTCTTTCGTTTCTACACCAATCATTCCTTGTACTCGTTCTCTTTTCTTCGATCTTCTTAACCTTCTGCCTACAGATATTTCACTTTCCATTGACGATACATACTACTCATATCAGTCGATATCAGTAGCACACACCGCAGTACTCAAAATCAATAAAGTCCCCAAATGCCCTGGTATGGCCGAGAGTGGGGTGGGTTCGCCCGCCCTCTCGAAATACTCTCACACGGCCACGCGTATACAGCCTCTGCCAGGGAAGTCCTACTCACTGCCTTTTCACATCAGGGGTGTTGTTTACGAAAATGAGAGGATGAAAAGCAAATGTCCAGCGCTTTAACCGGATTCCAAACCAATGGTGCACATGGGCTCCAGTATCCTCAGGGAACAAATGGCGTATGAACCAATTGTTGGTAACCGGCTACCATGGGACTGCATCTCCTCACGATGCTCCACTGCCTTGTGGGTTAGACCATTAGGTCAAAGGCTAGGGGTGTGGCCCCCTAAGATAACCACCTGCTTCGGTTTGAGCACCCGGGCAGTATCGCAGCCCACACACAAATAATGAACTGAACTGTCTATGATCATGGAAACTAATTCTCTTGCTTCGACGAACATTCAAATGATTCAATTATTATTGCCATTATTATTATTATTATTATTATTATTATTATTATTATTATTATTATTATTTACTGCGTTATTATTCACCCTCCTTTATTCCCACTCTGTTTAGACTTATTTTTTCGACTTATACAGAAGCTCGTCTATGGTGGAAATTCGACTCTATCTAAACGTTCTCGAGTAACTGTCCAGTTGAAAATTGTATGTTACCGCTGAATATGATTACTAAAGCAGTTTTTCTGAAACCACGTGCACCATTCAAACTGGCTGCCTTCAACGTTCGCACATTTATGCAGGTCGGACAACAGATAGGGCTGGCTATGTCTCTGGAAAGTCTTAATATTGATGTTTGCTGTCTATCCGAGACCTGTATTCAAAACTCTGGTGAAGCATTACAAATTCGATCTCCATCTGTCACTTTAAAAAGCTTGTTTCATGTGCGCTTATCCGGGGACCCTGTGGCATCTTGGTCTGGTCTTGCTGGCGTTGGTGTCGCACTAAGCGCTAGAGCTGAGACAGCACTAATCGATCGGGTTCCCATTAACAGTCGGTTATGTGCTGTTAGATTAGAGAGTTCCATCAAAGTGAGAAGAAATCGGCGTGAGAAACGATGTCTTTTCGTCATCTCCGCCTATGCACCGAAAGATTGCAGCCCGGATGCAATCAAGGATGAGTTTTACCACCAGTCATCTGTCCTTCGCCAGAAAAGGCGTTCGACAGATATTGTAGTACTAGCCGGTTGTGTATAAGACTGCCGCTCCTTTTGGAGTATCTATCTGGACTCTGACCATGCCTTGGTCTGCGCCAACCTTACCTTACTTTTCAGTGGACAACGAACTGACTGCCACCAACGGATTGATGTTAGCAAGCTGGTTGCAACTTGTGTTGCAAGTAAGTATCGAACCGAGCTAGCCTCTAGGCTAGCTACCATTCCACCGAAAAGTATAGATGAGCATTGGTTGCAATTGCATGACGCCATGAAAATGGCGGGTACAGTCAGTTGTGAGTTTGCGAAACGTCTCGCTTTTAAACACTGGGTTTCTCCAGGTTCCTTACAACTCATTGAAGCCCGTCGGTCTACTCCGGGTGACCGTGAGTTTGACCATGAACGAAGGATGTTGTGTAAGGAAATCGGGCAAAGCTTGGGTAAGAACCGAGAAACCTGGTGGTCGGAGCGTGCAAATTAGTTGGAAGCAGCAGCTGCATCTGGTAATTACCGGAAGCTCTTCCAACTCATCCGAGCCACTGGCAGCAAGAAGTCTGGTGTGAGCGAAACAATCTGCGAGGATGATGGAATGCCAATCACTAGCATCCATCGACGTCTTGGACGATGGGCAGAATTTTTCGAAGGGCAGGTCAACTGGCCTGCTGCTCCGGCAACATCGGTCAGACTGTCCTGCCCTCCATGGCCGGTGACAAATGATCCACCAAATGAGGTGGAAGTCCGCAAGGAACTCCAACTCTTGAAGCGTTACAAATCACCTGGCTCAGATGACTTACCTCCGGCTCTTTTTAAAGATGGTGGTGACTTTCTGACTAAGGAATTGACGACGTTGTTTACAAAGGTTTGGGAACTAGAGAGTGTATTAACGTCATGGAATGAGTCGATAGTTGTCCCTATCTTTGAAAAGGGTTCACGTCGTTCCTGTAACAACTATCGGGGGATAAGTCTACTTCCGATTGCGTCCAAGCTATTGGCTTCCGTCATACTTCGTAGGTTGTTCAAAACCCGAGAAAGATTGACTCGCGAGGAGCAGGCTGGGTTTCATTCTGGTAGAGGATGTATTGATCATATCTTCACCCTCCGACAAATGTTAGAAAACCGCCATACTTATCAAAGGCCAACAATCGTAGTATTTCTTGACATCAGGGCTGCCTTCGATTCGTTGGATAGGACTGTTCTCTGGGATTGTCTATTGAAGAAGGGTGTGCCTGAGAAGTTTATTAACATCCTAAAAGCCCTATATAAAAACACCTCAGGCAGAGTGAGGGCATACAACCACCTCTCTCCATTGTTCTATTCGAGCAGTGGGGTTAGGCAGGGTTGCCCAATCTCACCATTCCTCTTTAACTTTGCCACCGACGACATTCTGGAAACAGCTCTGATGGATGTAAGTAATGGCGGTATGGATCTGTTGCCTGGAGAAAGACTTCTCGACCTTGAGTATGCGAACGATATTGTCTTACTGTGAGATAATGCCCAAGGCATGCAATCCGCACTTAATCAGTTGGCAATCAGTGTCCGTAGGTATGGTATGTGCTTTGCACCTTCGAAGTGCGAAGTACTTCTACAAGACTGGCAGGATTCTAATCCTGTACTCACCCTGGATGGTGAGCAGATAGAAGTAGTCGAGAAATTCGTGTATCTGGGTAGCTGTGTTCGATCATCGCTGCCTCCGAAGGATTGCTGACATCCAGTGGCAACACCATGTCAGTAATGCAGAGGTTCTACATCGTGTGTTCGGGCACAGAGACGATAGTGCAATTGGTGTCGCCATCTTGAAACACCGACTTCGGCGGCTTGGACATGTTCTACGAATGTCGTCCCAGAGAATTCCACGTCGTGCATTGTTTGCCGACTCTTGGACTGGCTGGAAAAAGCGGAGAGGTGGTCAGTATATGACATGGTGTCGTGGTATGAAAGAAAGTTGCAAAGGACTGGCTTGTGTCGGTCCTTCACGACTCCCTGGTAGGGGTCCGAGAGATGGTGCTACACAGTGGCTAGAAACGTTATCAGATATGGCTCAGAATAGAAGCCAGTGGTGATCGTGCTGTAACCTTCTTTTACTTTCTTCATAAGAAGTGGTTGTATCTTCTTCTGATCGTACCCTTCTGTTCCCCTACTACTGCTATTATTATTATTATTATTATTATTACACTGCCTTACATCAATCTCTTCGTTATTGTTATTATTGTTATTATTATTTTCTTTTTTTAGGTTCCTCACTTTTTTTCCTTCTTAGATTCTCATTGTTTTGTGTGGCGCACATATATTCGGCGCACTCCTGTACCGATATATATGTGTTCAAATAAATAAATAAATAAAATCAATAAAATTTAGGCCAAATTTAGAAGAAACGGCGGACGAAATCATTAGACATGGATTTTTTTTTGTTTGTATTTATTCACAGTGTCCCTGAAGCGAAATTCCGGAAAAAAAGAGTTGGGGATTTATTCTGTTGGTGAGTGAAACCACAGTTCAAATACTGACAACAACAAAAGTAATAAATAATAACTATTGAACAAGAGGTGATTAAATAACCTATTGATTAACGTTTTGAGATTCAAATCAATGAATAATTAGATTGAGCCCAACTGGAAATATCAACAGTACGATATAGATACACCAGTCTGACGAATAGCACTATTAAAATGTAGCATGAAAGTACATTCAAATCAACAAGAAAATCATAAGTGGAGAAGAGGGATACAAAAAATATACAGTATAAAGGTGTTTAATAACTAAAAACAAACATTATGAACTAGTTCTTGCTACTGTAATCATTTTTGATTCATTTCAGCTAATCTCTTCAACTGGATAGTGTACAATTTTTCTGTTACGTAATCCAAATCCACAATTATTAATTTCATGAAACCAATTTGTTTAAAAAACTAGATCATATCTCTAACTTTCACATATCATAAGATTTATCTGAAAGCCGTTATTCAATATTCAGTCTTTATCCATTTTTTATTCAAAAAACAAATCAATTTTTTTTAATTAAAGAAATTTCAATTCGTTCATGAACGAACTGCATCTCTGTGCTAATGTGGTATGACAACTTGAACTGATGTACGTACGTACGAAGTTCCACGTTGTTACTGACTAACTGACTGACTGACTGACTGACTGACTCATGAACGAAACAATGAATAAGTATAAAACAAACCATAATGTTAATTTCATATTTTATTTTAGATATATAAATTGTATTATATAATACTTACTTCACGTGACTTTCGTTCTTCACGTGTTTTTTGAACAAGCGCATGGGTTGACAACTGTGAAAGTGTGTAAGGATGGAAAAACAATTTCCCAAATAAAAAAAGATTGATTAAATATAATTGTTAGGGATTTCTAATTAAGTTTACCAAAAATAATAATAATAACTAACCTTAAAATAGGAAAATTAGAAACCATAAGTATTTTATGGTAAAACAAGAAGGATGAATCGTCCTGTCTTACATTACGGTTAAGACATGATCAATCACAGGTTACTTGTATATGATCATAGATGCTTTCAAAGCAGTACTCATGTATACTGAGACCACTAAGTGATTAATGCTGAGATTAGATGGATGGTGCCAGGTAAAGATGATAAATCAGTTGATGATATGGTGAACCTCGATCGATTGTGGTACTTGGGACATGTATTGGGTATGTTTAATCACTACCAACCTCAACTCGTCATATTTGCTGGTATAGGGGCGAGTCAAAATAAAGCTAAGGTAGCTAAACCAAAACTTGGCATCAATTCAAAGTCATCAACTATTGGAGTAAGCCGTGTTGATAGATGGAGACCGACCGGTTGAAATCTGTGAGAACACAATAACCGATATCTGAAGATGTTGAACGATACAGCTCAGAATCGTTTGCTATAATACAGGTGGATTTACTTTGTTTTCTACTGGATCTTGAGTTTTAAAGTAATCTTAAACTGTTTATTCAGTGAACTTATCCGTCACTCATCTTGAATCAGATTTTCTTAGCCTAGTTTTTTCTACTACTACTGATATTGGTACTACTTTCATCATACTGGAATTTTTCTTGAGGATTTCATCTCACCGTGATCATGTGGTGTAAAAACTTGAACCGATGCATATATCTGCCAGGTTTCACGTTGCTTGTGACTGTATCAAGGAGGATGAGAGATGGAAAACAACAGGTTCAACCAATTGGTTCATCATAAGTAACGCAGAACCTAGTATAAATGTGTATCGGTCCAAGTCTACACGCCAAACCAACGCAGCAATACGAAATTATCAGCTAATTATAATGTATGACAGGGCATAAATATGTAATAGTAAGGTTACGATTATTCACACCAGGATAGTGATAGGATAATAGCAAGTAATAGAAAATGGAGAATAATGTAAGATACAATGGAAAGCTAGAAGAAACATAGAGCAAGAAAAACGATTAGCAACGAAAAATGAAATTACACTAACCTCAAGCTTTAGACTCTAAGAGGAGGATACATAACACATGTACCACAGTTACTGTGATGATTTTCGGGTCCCATCACATGGCTGAACGTCTCCAAATACATGTCACAATCCCATAGTTTCACACCACGGGATTACTTTAGTTAGACAACTGAAAACCAAGGAGCACTGAACATTTGTTTCGTCATAGTATGGGACTCCTAACAAGTATTTATTCACGACCCTACCTGGAAACGAACGCAAGACCCTCACACCTCACGATGAGCATTTAAACTTCATACAACTTAACTGGTATCTGATAGTTCACATCCCTAAACTCAGTTAACTCGTGGTGCTGCGTGACCCAAATTCTAGCCCGGAAGTCTCCGCTCAGTGACACAGACCAGTCCAATGATTAGTGCCTTCGTAAATTGACTCCAAATCTTGATTTGTCCGTTTCTAGAATATTTACAACTTCTGAAGTAATTATCATTTGGTATCAGGATGAGCGGTGGTCGGAAAATGTGATACACATATCTAGGATGATGAGTTGAAGGTATAATACCTCATATACTGATTTATCATATTAACTCAATATCTTCAGCCAAATATAAATGTAAATTACATGATGGTCTAACTGTACGCTAGCAATTTTTTGAAGACATGCACAACCAAATACTAGGGATTTAAGTATCACTTTACCTTGATAAAAATTACATATTAATCAATATAATTTAACTATTTTGTGAGAATAAATTATTCACAACGAGATAAAGTTGTAGTGTAATTCGAACGTGGGACCCAGTGGATGAAGGTTGAATATTTCAACTATAAGTCACAGCTTCACATCGCGGAGTTAAATGCTAAGTACAACAGAATGGCGAATAAAACCAACAGGTTGAGTGGAATTGAAATGACCAGTGGTTATCCAGCTGCTAGCACACTTAGTTACAGAGTCTAAAATAGATAAGGTACTTACAGTTGTTCCACTCAATCACATTCTTCAATTCGCGTGTTGCAGTAAATCAATCGGAATGATAGGGGAAATTTAGACTAGTTAAACTGTCTAATTATATACCAAGAGATTTATATCTTAGGTCAAGGTATTTTTCGCAGTACTATTTACCATATAACTAATACAGAATAACATTAATATACTTGAGTAGTTTGTGATTGTCATGAGACAAAATAATTCAACTGCTGGTGTTAAAGGTAGTAGTTGTCAATCTAATTTCTGGGTACTTGATTCGAGTAAGAAATAAAACTAACAGTCTGGTCTTAATTAACTGGCAAGTGAGTGGCCTATAAAACTCATATACTTCAATAACTTATGACATTTAATCATATTTATTGTTGTATCTAGTGTTTTGTACATAAATATGTGGTCACTAAAAATACTGCATTAGCTAGTTATCTTATCTTTTGATATCAATCCAATTGTGGCCTGCGTCTACAACTTCGTTTGGTGAACAATTAATCGTCAGTCATATTGTATTATCAATAAATCAACATCCTAAGTATCCATTCAACAATTTAAAACCTATTCACCGAACTTAAAACCTCCCGCGCAACAGTACTCCAAAGCAATTTTAAGATGGTAGCTTTCAACTCCCGAACCGATATTTCACACATTATTTCCATTCTCTACTACAAGTATCACTCCTATAGTTACTAGCGGTATTTCAATAGCACTATGTTCCCCATGTTTTGTTTACAAAATATGAACTAGACACATTCGTATCCTATAGATGAATTACGTTTGTTTTTTACATAATGAATACATCTTACAAAGTTTGCATGTAGCCAACAATGATTCTGTGAAATAAAACGAATTTATCACAACCCGCAAATGTTATGTTTGTTAAAATAAGTAAATGAATACATGAATAAAGCATTACCTTTTGGGTATGATCAAGCACTAATGATCGCTTTGATTTGTAATTCCCTTCAAATGAGTACATTTCAACGTATATTTCCAAACTTATAATAGTATAAAACCTTTCCCATTCACAATAATCCAAAAAGGGAAAGTCATAACAGACCTCTTGTTCTTACAGTCCCCAAAACACTAAGGAATAAAAAATGTGGACAGTGCTTTATTATTACTCCTGAGTATATCTACCCTTCAAATAGTAAGGAATCATCTCTCCAGGTAAAAAAAAGATTAACCACGGACTAAAAAGTTGCTTTCACTTGTGAATTTGTCACTTATAGACCAGATATTGAAGAAGACTTTTCGGTATATTTATTATTAATTTAAACACGAAAACATTGGTACAATAGGGACCAAAATATATAAGCACCGCAAAAAGTAGTCATCATTCACTTGGCGTGTGAGCCGTGATGTCCAGGTCGCCAAACCGAAACAGGTGGTCTTCTTAAAAGCCTACTCCCCAAGCTTTTGACCTAGAGGTTTAATCCACAAGGCAGTGGAGTAGCGTTAGGAGATGCAAACCCCAAATGCCATGATACGGCCGAGGGTGGGGAGAGTCAGCTCTCCCTCTCAAAATTCTCTCACATGACCACGTGCATACAACCACTGTCAGGGACTTCCTACTCACTGCCTTTCCGCGGCATTACTGTTGTTTACAAGAGTGAGGGGACAAAAAGCGAATGTCCGGTGCTTTATCTCGGTTGGTGGATCCACCTAAGGGAGTTAGAAAATCCTGATTCAAAACCAATGGTGTAAATGGGCTCCAGGATTTTGAAGGAACAAAGGGTGCATGAACCGGCTACCACATGACTGCATTTCTTAAAGCTGCTCCACAGCCTTGTGGACTAAAAATCCAGGTCAGAAGCTCGAGGTGTGGCCACCTAAGAAAACTACCTGCTTCGGTTTGGGAACCAAGGCAGTATTCCAGCCTTCACACAAACCGAGTGATTTATATGGCGCATATGTATTTGGTGCCTTCTTGTACCAATGTTTATTTATTTAAATAAATAAAAAATAAGGGGTGATCAACATTAGGTTCGTTCACCATTTGTTCCCTCGGGATCCTGGAGCCCATGTGCATCATTGCTTCAAAATCAAGGTTTCCCGACCGCCGTTGGAGGATCCGCCACACCCACCAACTCGCTTTAAGTGCCGAACATTCACCTTTCATCTTCATAATTTAACAAACACCCTCACCACGAGGATTTAGTAGTACACTGAGACTTCACATACTTGTTTGTCTTGAGCTTCTCAAAAGCGAATACACAAAATCTTATGAAATCAAAGTTAATAATTTCGCAGATAACTACCGATGTCCGTATTAAGCTGATAACTTGAACCTTTTGCTTGAAAACATAGCGTCAACCACCCAACAGTCTTATTTGATAGATTAAACCGACTAAAAGGAAGTCATTTATTTGACACGATAGTTCCAAACTACTACTCCTGCAGAGCGGAACTAAAACGGAAGAAACTTTAATTTATAGGCAAACCGGTCAGATTAAAGATAGTATATCTTGGATTTTGATGCAGTTCTTGTCCACCAATTTGGTCAAATACCATTTTTGGCATTATAGCTGATATTAGTTCGTGATGAAAACATTAAATCCTCAACCTCACGTCCAACCGTAAATCCTAATTCTAATCCCTCATACCAATTTATACCCCTCATTTAACTCTAGTAAGTAGGCGGACAGTTCAAGGTCAATTTATTGTTCAAAGGTCGCCCATTGATTGTCTCACCGAAAAAAACTGCAAGGAATAGTTAGAACGTTTTGCTGTTAAACTCGCGCTCTAACATTTTAAGTGCAGGGTTAGCTCAAAAGTCATTTTATCGCGGTGCAAAACTTTATATGTGTCTGAAGACTATTAGGGTTTTTGATATGTGACATGACTCAGATGGGATTTTAGGATATAGAACAGTCTTACTCCTTTGAAGAATTTAAATATTTTAGGTTGGACACGGTCTTATCTAACTGTTAAACCCCCACTAGGGCTAAAACACTAATTGTGCCATGGTCCACAAAAAGTCAACCAACCAACAGCCGCTTTCCTGATTGACCCTCATAACAGGTACATATTAACAATCTTCAAACTCAAAGACAATATAAACCACAAGAAGCACGCAGTTTTATGTTTGGAATTTTGATTTCGGTTGTCTCATAAAGTTTGGTTATGCAAAATGGTGTAAGTGTATTTCTTGATCCCCTCAATGCCTTAATGGCGAAATAACTTAGACATCAAGTTTCCTTAGAGGGATTAGAAAATTGTTTATTCCTTGTGATCTGCATCTGAGTAGTTAGAAAGTGCTCCTAGTCACGTGTAAACGGTCGAACCTGCCATTTAATAAGATTATGACAAGTCACAATCACTACTTATGGAATCAAAGGGGATTTTGTTGTTGCTTGAGAGAATTTCATAAATAACGTATGATTAATTGGAAACCAAACAAGAATGGGGATATACTCCCGATTTACCATATAGAGTGGTGGCTGTGTCATTTTCTACGGTGATTAGTTCCATACTACGTGGAGACTGTACTACTACTCAACAGAACTCCCAGAAGTGATCCTGAAAGCTGAATTGGTGTACAGGAAATCGTAGTACCTATAAAGAACACCCGTATATGACCCAGTCTACCGTACTGAGGGGAGCAGCTTCATTCTTGGCAATACTGCTTAGCGTGATGTTCCCACATTCGCAAAGCCGAAGCACATTACCAGAAAGTTGGAATCTAACTTACGTCACACATATTTTCTAAAGAGGTCGACGCAGCAAAACATCAGGCTACCGAACCGCAGCACTACTATTAATACCTTTGAAAATTATAGACTCCATGATATATGACTTTCTGTGTGACTACTTAGCATCCGTAAACTTCTTTACACCTCAACAGCACGGTTTCAGAAAAGGTCATTCTAATATAACCAATCTTCTGACCGAAGTGGACAAACGGACAATCGTGCTTGATCATGATGATGTTGTAACAGCTCAGGTTGGTTGGTTAAGAGTTGACCCCAAACAACCAAGCTTATGCCAAAACAGTATTGTTCAAGTATTCATTCACTTCCTTATTTTGTATAAGCGTTATATTCCCTAGTATCTTATATTGAATGTTGAGAGCCTTTGTTTGTCTGAACAGATAATCCCACGCTCCACTGTGACTGCGCGAAGATCGAAATAAAGACCTATTCACTACTTGTCTGGTTTCTTCTATCAATAGCACGAGGGTTACCTTAAGGCACGAAATTGGTGAGCCCTTTTTGAACACAAATTTAACCTCATTTCTGTTAATAACATTTTTTTTACTTAATCGTAAAAGTAGACCTGATTAACCGTAAACTAATTTGAGTATATAACTAGTTTATTCCGTATTATCTTATGTTATTCGTGTTATAGTAACCACTTTTTGTGCTAACTTTATTGCTATATTTGCCACATACCTCATGTCAGACTCAATAGAAACCCATAATCTGGAGGATTTGTCACCAGTGGAGATAGACACTGTTATGACTACGAAATCCCGACTTCCAGAATTTGATCGTAGCGATCCTGAGTTGTGGTTTGCTCAACTAGAGCATTATTTCACGAGACACAATATCAAATCTGAAGGGATTCGCTATAGAGACTTGTGTTCTATCCTTCCTCCTTCAGTCGCCAAAGAAGTCCGTGACTTGATTTTGAGTCCACCATCACCACAACCATACACCATCTTAAGACGAGAGATAATGAACCGTTTATCATTATCAGATAGTCAAAGAATCCAAAGACTTTTTCAAGGTGAAACACTAGGTGATCGGTCGCCGTCACAGTTTTTACGTCACCTCCAAGTCTTAGTGGGTGATAACACAGTGGGTGAAGCAGTCCTAAAACAAGGATGGATACAAGCTCTCCCATGCTACGTCCAACACTGTTTGGATGCACAGGATCCTGAAACCTCATTATCTCAATTAGCGCGTATAGCCGACAGAATAATGGAAAGAGGTCCTCCAACTGGATCAGGCATAATAAATCACACACAAAAAGTAGAATCAGCAAAAGACCCCGTAATAGAAGGACTCATTGCGAGTGTTAAGAGTCTCACTGAGGCTGTCACCAGAATGCAAATGGGTCATAGAAACAGGAGCAGGTCACCACAACGACCACGATCCAAGTCACAAAACAGGTCACAAATGTCCAGACAATCTGGGCAGTTTTGTTGGTACCACTGGAAGTTTGGTGTCAACTCAACCAAGTGCATGCAACCATGCGCTTGGCCTAAGCATAATTCTAAGACAGCGGGAAACGAGTAACCCCTCCCCAGGTCGCGACGACTGCGGAGGGGCGCCTAAACAGTCGCTTGTTTTATGTTAGAGACAGAAACTCGGGCTTGAATTTCTTGGTGGATACTGGCGCTGCTCTTAGTATCATCCCTCAAAATAAAACTGAGATTAGTCGAGAAACATCATCAATTACACTTCAAGCTGCAAATAAAACTGAAATTGCGACATTTGGGCAGAAAACATTAACCCTAGATTTGGGGTTCAGGAGACAATTCCCTTGGGTTTTCACGGTAGCCGACTTAGATCTGGCAATACTGGGGATGGACTTTCTAGAGAGATATGAATTTCTAGTTGACACCAAGAAACGGCGATTAACACTAAAAGAAACTTCGTATTACACAAAAGGCAAAGAAAGTCACATCAGCTCTCTTAACTTGATTCAAACTCCCCCAGTAACAACAGCGAAATTCCAAGATATACTCGCGGAATTTCCAAACTTAACTAAACCAAACCCACAGCCTTCTAAGGACAAACTAAAAGTGAGTCACACTATCAAAACTGAAGGTGCACCGGTGTTTGCAAAACCCAGGAGACTAGCACCAGATAAGCTCAAAATCGCTAGGGCTGAGTTTGATTATATGCTACAATTGGGTATTATCCGTCCCTCTGATAGTCAATGGGCATCCCCTTTGCATATGGTCCCAAAGAAGAATGAAGGTGACTGGCGACCGTGCGGGGATTACAGAGCCCTCAACCGTCAAACCGTACCAGATAGGTACCCAATACCTCATATCCAAGATTTCACCAACGGTTTACAGGGTATGAACATATTCACTAAAATTGACTTAGTCAGGGCATATCACAATATCCCGTGGCTGATGAAGATATTCCCAAGACAGCTATTACTACACCCTTTGGCTTATTCGAGTTTGTACGCATGCCATTCGGCCTGAGAAATGCGGCACAGACATTTCAAAGATTCATAGATAACCTACTTCGAGATATGCCATTTGCGCAGGGGTATATAGACGACTTGTTAATTGCCAGCCCCGATTTGCAATCACACGAACAGCATGTACAAGCAGTGTTGAAAAGACTGGATGAACATGGAATAAACATACATCAAAGTAAGTGTGTTTTCGGTGTTCAAACTTTAGAATTTCTCGGTCACACAATAAGCCCAGAAGGGATTAAACCTATCAAAAAAGAAGTGGATACCATCAAACAATACCCCGTACCTAGTTCTCTAACACAACTGAGAAGTTTTCTAGGCCTAATTAACTTTTATCGCAGATTCATACCAGGTTGTGCACAATTAATGCAACCTTTGACAGATTCACTTAAAGGAAAACCAAAAGAATTCAAACTGTCTTCTGACGCCATCGAAGCTATTAAACAGCTTAAAGATAAACTGGCTCAAGCAACTACGTTGATATATCCGAATTCTCTTTCCCCACTTGCTTTGATGGTGGATGCTTCAGATAAAGCAGTAGGCGGTACCCTTAACCAACTGGTTAAAAACGCCTGGAAACCAATTGCTTTCTTCTCGAAAAGACTCGCTCCAGCCGAAACAAGGTATTCTACCTTCGGGCGAGAACTTCTTGCAATCTACCTGACCATTAAACACTTCCGACACATGTTAGAAGGTAGGGAATTTATAGTCTTTACGGATCACAAACCTCTGACGAATGCATTAAAAGCGAGAGCCGATAAATACTCACCTCGAGAAGTCCGACACCTTGACTATATATCACAGTTCACAAGCGATATCCGACATGTCAAAGGTCAGGACAATCAGGCGGCAGATGCTTTATCCAGACTAGAAATGAACGTGCTACAGCAGTCTACAGTAAACTTCGAGACGTTAAGACACGAACAAGAGCAGGACCTAGAATTACAAAACCTACTTAAAACAAACAATTCAAGTCTTAATTTAAAACAATTCCCATCACCTATCGATGGTATTCTAATTTATTGTGACACGACCAAGGCAATGCCGCGACCTTTCGTTCCCAAAAATATGCGAAAGTTGATATATAATAACTTTCATTCTTTGTCTCATCCTGGCGCGAAAGCTTCAACAAAACTAATCAATGCCAGATATATATGGCCGAATTTACAGAAGGATGTACACAAATGGGTTAGAGAGTGTTCAGCATGCCAACAATCAAAGATTAATCGTCACACAAATTCACCCATAGGTGTTTTCTCGCAACCAGATGCACGTTTTGCCCATGTACATATCGACTTAGTAGGTCCTTTACCACGTTCAAACGGTTTTAATTATCTTTTTACATGCATAGATCGATTTACCAGATTCCCTATAGCCATCCCGATAGCGGACATCACAGCGGAAACAGTAGCCAAAGTTTTCATGCAGAACTGGGTAACCATTTTTGGTACACCTATAACAATAACGACGGATAGAGGAGCGCAATTCGAATCCGAACTATTTAATAACTTGGCTAAACTTCTAGGCTCCAATAGGATACGCTGCACTGCATATCATCCTCAGGCTAATGGGATGGTAGAACGTTTTCACCGTCAGCTAAAAACCGCCCTTATATCTCACTCAAACCCCAATCAGTGGACAGAATTCCTACCGTTAGTTATGTTGGGAATACGAACATCTGTCAAAACTGACGCACAGTGTTCAGCTGCGGAACTGGTTTTCGGAACAACTCTGAGACTACCAGGTGAATTTGTTAACCCTAATACTAACAGTCAAAAACTTAATTTAGAAAATTATGTAGATCAACTACGGGACCACATGTCTGAAATTAAGCCGATTAGTACTCGTGAACAATCGCGCGCC